ACCTGCAACAAAGCCAGGGTTTTGTAACATCGTGAGCATAGTACTCCAATATTTCTTCTGGTTTGACCTCACAATGAAGCTAGGACTCAAACTATAACATCATTAGTACAACTCTAATATTAACTGAAGGAAGACCGAACAAGCTAAGCATTTACATATATTTAAAATGAAGCAGTAGCTCTTGTTAAAATATTCATTTTTTTTTCCATGTTAGTATGTTTAGTTAAACCAGTGCATAAATCTTGATGTTATATTTGGAAGAGTTTTAAAAGTAAATACTAAGTAAAATAACACTGAGTTCTATCAATGGGTATCTCTCCCTGATCAGTAAATTAGTGGATTAAATTTATGTTGATATTTCTGGTATCTCCCCCCAAAAAACATTCATGTATTTAAATGATGACTACTGTCCTATATCAGGAGATATTAGAAAATTAATATGTTTGCATCATCCCTACCAAGGTTCAGATCATGCTTGCACTTATTTGGTAGGACACATATGACGAAAGTGAAATCGTTTACAGTACTGAGAATCTCTGAGGATAGAGCATATCTGAGAATTGAATGTTCCATTAGGTTGAGAACTTAATGCTTCAGTCATGCACAATCTGCTACTGTTGGATCATCACTGTTATTCACAACTGGAGGATCATTAAGGTCTTTGTCTAACTTAAAAGTTCTTTAGTTCTGTGATACTATACATGGCAAAGACAAGAGTTTCCTAGATTTGACTCGTTGTGTATAATATAAAAGAAAATAACCTATTTCATATGGAGAAATAAGTTCAGAAATATTGAAATTAGACACCTATAATGAAAGTAATACCAGAAGATATTATTAGAGCAATACAGATATTTCTTTCAAGTGAACATAGATAGCATTATGAGACAATTTCCTGAGTTTGGGACAAATGATTAGAATATGCAAATAGCCAAAATGTGTTCTCAGTTAAGCTGAAATTTCTCACCACATTAGGGAGCCAGTAATTTCATTCTTTCAATATCACAGACTTCAGAAGTGATAAAATCATTGACACTCTTCAGTTTCTCTCTACCTTTCTCATAGTTTTGAGATAAATATCTTTTATCATAATTTATTTTGTTTTATTAATAAGGATTCTGCCAAGATTAATCATTTCTTCAAAGAAGAGAGTATAGTGAGACATCATTTCGAGAGGCATTTTAGAAAAATAGAGAGAAAGAATAAAAATTGGAATGACTGCGATTACTGTGTCCAGAGGAAAGTCAACCTTCTGAGAATCCACAGTGGATCAGGTTACAAAACAGAAGTGGTTTATGATGTGTCACATGTGAGATAGGATTGAGACTTCCTGAGTTATAGAAACCTTACATTAAAAACCACAAAACAATTTGGGATTAAAATACCAAAAAACTTTATTTCTGCCTATTTATATATTTAACTTTGTTATTTTTCCTCTTTAGAGAGTTGTATTATGAGAGTTATTATGGTGTTTTTTTAAACCTCAGTGTTGTCTATTGTTATTAGAATCAGGTATGAACTGTGATTTTATTTATGTACCTTTCATGCTTACACACACACACACACACACACACACACACATGATACAAACACACAATCTTAATGACAAGTAGGCAATCCATAGTGTTTCTCTAATGGTTGAGAGGTGATGAAAGGAGTGTTTGAGGACAAGGAAAGTAGCTGGGACCTTGAAATACTATGAGTTGAGAAGTATCTAAACTTTCAGTTTTTATACCACTCATAGCAGGTAAGCAAGTACGTAAGCTTAAATCCATGAACATCCAGTCACGGCTGTAAAGTTTTACCATGTTGCTACACTTTCCAAGCCTTGCCTATTCTTACTAATAGTGTGATTGACATCTCTGATTATAGGGACCTGGAAAGTCTTAAGATGGGCCATACCCAGGTCGTCCTTATTTTATTCAAAAGTCTTACGTCACTCTGTATCTCTTCCAAGACTAACCATTATTTTAGGCTTCTTATACATGCTAATGGGATTGATGCTTTTGCTTGGTCTATAAATTAAAATGTTGAAGACTCAATATGTTTCTGCATTCCTTAGGGTTCCATTCCCACATTTTTTACATTGAAGTGTTTCCATTGAAAGTTGGACTACATCTCATATGGGTATACCAAAGTGTAAAGATTCATGGAGATCACAGTTTGTTGCTTTAACGATTGCAGAAATCCTGTATTCCCAATATGCATTTCCATCTGACACAAATTCTCCGGCTACTGGTGCTGTTTCCTGTTCTTCTTACTCACATCCCACAGTCATTCCACAAATATTTAATCAAGTGCCTGCCGTATGTCAGACACTATTCTAGGAGCCAGAAACAAAGCGCACAAAAATCCCAGCCTCTTGAGCTGATGTGAAAGGAAGTTTAAAATGCCTTGGCCACTCTTGTGGAAAAGGACACGAGGTAAACTCAGTGCTGAGGACAAGCTTTGATAATCTGTGATAGGAGACAGCAGAGGGGAAAAGAAAGGGACAGAAAGAGAATTGTGTGTTTCAGGAAAAGAGTGAGGGACTAGCGTCTCTGATGGGGCATCTAGCAATAGTTGCATGAGACACACACACTTCATTGTATCCCTTCTCCTTCATGGACCTTCCCTTTCAAACTTTCTATTCTCCATCTTCTTTATCTCTGTGTCTCCAGACACTGGAGGCCCTGGGACCTCTTTACTACTCTACTTATACTCATGCTTGCTAATTTCATTCAGATCCATGATTTTAAAAATCATCTCTATGTTTATGAGGCTCAGGTGTATAGCTCTGGCTCAGGTATCTTCCCTGCACTGCAGATTTTTATATTGATGGCCTATTCCACGTCTCTACCTGAATCAATAGTAGGCCCAACACACACAGCACATTCAAAGCATGACTCCCTCCAACTCCTCCTCCCGGGTTCTGCTGCTCCCTTGCTCTCTCCAGACCATTAAATGGCACCACCATCCCCCCAGTGGCTCAGGCAAAAGATCTCGGAGTTATTCTTGACACTTTCCTAACCCATCACACGTTCGTACATAGGCATATCCTTAAAATATATCTTTATTTTTTTTACCGCTAATATCCTAATCTGAATTCACGATCATCAGCCAACTGATTCACTTCCTGCAGTAGCTTCCTAACTAACTTCCACTCTTGCTTTTCCAGAGTTTCCCACATTGTGAATCAGTCCTCTTAAGATATGAACCACATCATATTCCATCCTGCTGAAATCCTAAGAATGTCTTCCTACTGCACCTAAACAGAAAAATGCTCTGGTTGCAAGGCTCCAGAACCTGGCCTTCCCCCTTTCTCTCATATCCTGCTTCCTTCCCCTCAATCTGTCCACCTCAGCCGCTTCAACTTCCTGGCCTGGAACCCAGGCTCCTTGTTTGCCTCAGAGCCTTTGCACGTGCTGTTCCCTCTGCCTGGGCCCTCCTCCCAGATACAGGCATGCTTTGTTCCTTCATGTCATTCAGATCTCTGCACAAATGCCACCTCGGGAAGGGACTCACGACCATTCACCCTATTACTCTATGCAGTTGCTCTCATCCCTATTCCCTGCTATATATATTTTTATTGTGGTCTGATATTGTGTTATATGCATATTTATTTATTTATCCTGCTTAATGGTTCATTATCTATATCCCCCATTAAAATGCAAGTCCTACGAGGACAGTATTTTGTTTATTACTGAAAATTTGAGAGTGCTTTGTATTTAATATGTATTTATTGAGTGAATGAATAATTAAATGAATGACATTTCTGAGGGCTACAGTAGAAGCCCTAGGAGTGGCACCTGCCAATAGATGGGGACATAAATTTTGTTTTTCTGCTCATTTTTTATTACCAGAAATTCTGAGATTTGAAGCACAAGATGGATGGAATGTTTTCTTAAAGAACTCAGAGTCTCAGTAATAAATACCATATTTTTTTCTTATTTGTATCATATCAATAAACTGGCTTGACTATGTTCTAAGATGATTATTAATTTCCATGTATATTTAAGAAATTTATTTTAGGGTACTTTTTTGTACAAAGAATATAACTTAATCAAATGTTATAAAACTTACATTGAAATAGGAGTTGTCAACCTCAGGACCCAGGAGTGGGGTGTGTGTGAGCGTGTGTGTGCGTGTGCGTGTGCGTGTATGTGTGAGACGCACGCACGTGTGCATGTCTAAAATGATAGTACAGAATAAGAAACTGATAACATCAAACTATACTGTAAGTGGTCAAGTTACTTTGTTACTTTGGATTCACTATTTTATTTATTTGCTTTTCTGTTTCCCTATCACAAAGAAGTGGTGCTTTTATCACTCATATTTCTGTATTTCCTGATATAATATGCCAATCAAAATGAGTGCATTTCATGTTACTTTCAAGAAGTGTCACTCCCATTTCAAATATCCCATAAGAGTGTTATTTAACTTCTTCAGCTTCTGATGTTTTTATACATGATGGTTTGATGCTTCTATCTGCCAGAAACCAACAGCATTTAGTCAGATTAATTTATCTTAATGCAATTCAATTCAGGAAAATTAATTCATCTTAATGCAGTCACGTGAAATAAGATAGCAGAGATACTTGGGTAATTAAAATGGAATTAAAATTTTTAGACTTTTAGCCCTCCCCATTTCATAAAGGATATGAGCTGGCTTAAAAAGTTTCCGTTCAATATTTAAAAATAAAATGAACTAATATGGGGAGGGGAACGTATCTGAAGAATCTGGTTAACCCTTTTTTAGCCTGGTGCAGTGCTTTTGAACGCTTCTTGAGCATGTCAGCTATTTGATGAGACATGCTTTATTGCTTTTCTACTTACATTTGCATAACCACTTTTAAGCAGAAAAACTGCATGATTTTAAACTTGATTATTAAAAAGTATTTTTAATTGAGTTATTATTATTGAGTTGTGCCATTGACTAATTTTTGCAACACAAGTATTAAAAAAAGAAGAGCATTGAAAAGTTCTCAGGGCAGTTGATACAGCATTTTGTTTCCTCTTTAGGAAATGATGCCACCTCAATTGTCAACTGTCTTCATATTTTGGGTCAGACTTTGGATGCAAGGTAAATGGGTACATTTTTAATCTAAGTAAATTAATATAATAATGATATGTAAGAATGTTAAGAAGGACCTAGTGTCTTGATCTTATTGTTTACATTTGTAATAAAAACTTTAATGCAGGTGAAAAGAAAACCTTTTATAAATTACTAATGTGATGACAGTTTACTTTTATGATCATATGTAGATGGTTATTTAATTTCAAGTAGCAGAAAGCACAAGTAGGAATATAACTGAGGGTTAAATTTGTAATGTATCATGTGAAGAAAAAATAGGAAACTGACAATTCCAGAGGTCTTACTAGCTTCCAGCAGGCATGGTACTTGTGCTCAACCTTCATAACATTTAGCTTTATAGGAAACATAGAGTTTTATTCTCATTTTATGGATGAGTAAAGTGATGGTTATGATTGCATAGTAAACATGTGGGTAGACTAATTCCGAAGGTTCTGCACTTTCTACTCCACCCTACCATCAACTTGACCAGAAACCCAGCACCCAGCATGTCAACCAAATGCGAAATCAGTTTAGTTAGCATGATTAATTCGTCCTTTAAGGCATACATTTAGTTCATATATAGTATCCAGGAAAAATCTATATAAAAGTTCCTAAATGTCTCCTAAAGAGAATATTCTGTGATACTCTTTGAATACCCATTTTTGTATTTAATATTATATACCTTCATTTACTACAAGAAATAGTGGTATCAGGATGTCACTTCTATATAATGTTCATCCATCAGAGGCTTTTTTAGAAAAGACTTTATAGCTACTCCTTAAAGCACAAAATATCTGTATCATTTGGTGAGTTGATTTAGCTTACGTTAAATTTGTCTTTCACACCCATGGCCCCAGGAAACATTCTAGATCTGTTTGATTTGTGATTAACTAAACTGTGTCAGAAGCTGTGTTTTGTTCATTATAAAATAAGTTCTCAAAATTTGAAACCAAATGGAAAACATGAAGCATTAGCACAGCCTTTTGCTCCAGGGTTCTAATTAAGTTGACTATAAAAGCATTTGGGAAAAGTTATTTATAGAACAATATTTCAGTAACTTTAAGTGTATTGAAAAAAAGTATTTTAGAGTTCATTGTTTAAATGTAATTGACTAGGTGGGTACTATACTGGAGAAACATAAACTGCGTTTTATTTGTATTCCATTTGCTCCTGTGGAAAGGTGTGAGTCCTCCTTTATTTACTTCCTAGGACTGTGATGAAGACTGGTCTGGAGAGTGTTAAAAGTGCACTGAGAGCTTTTCTGGACAACGCTGCAGAGGATCTGGAGAAGACAATGGAAAATCTTAAGCAGGGCCAGTTCACCCACACCCGAAACCAACCCAAAGGGGTGACTCAGATTATCAATTACACCACGGTGGCACTGTTGCCGATGCTGTCATCATTATTTGAACACATTGGCCAACATCAGTTTGGAGAAGATCTAATATGTATGTAAATCTATTACTTAGAGTTCCAATATTGAAATAGTAGAATCAGAAATTGTAAAAGCCATTATGTTGGTTATTCAAACACTGCTTATACATTAAGATGACTTTTTTTTTTTTTTTTACAAAACATTATAGGTTGACATTTGAGCTATAGAAACCATTCTTTTAGAAACAGATCTCTGAATCACATGGGCAATAATTTCTGCAGTGTTAAAGTACAGGTTACAAATTTTACTATTTCTACACTGCTGCTGTTCTAACGCAGTTGGATGATGCGACGTGCAAAATTAAATGTTTTCAAATTTCTGAGTCAATGCAGATTGTTTCCATAAGCTATACTACCAACTAATGTGAAAGCTAATTAGACACAGTCAGTGTCTAAATAACTGGTTTCTTGTGGTAGCTGAAATATCTTCTGTTTAGAGGTTTCGGTCGGTTTTCATGGGGGATTTAATCAGCTGTTTTTGGTTGGAATTCTGTAGTTATTAAAAATACCCACAGAATGCTCAAGATTAAGTGGAAAAAATAAAACATGAGCTGTAACTTCCCACTGTCCTGCTGATATGACCCTGAGCCAAGATCTCTGCCTTTGTTGAGCAGCCCCACCAACTCGGACTTGGACCCATGGCTTCCCCAGGTGATGAGCAACTCTGTGTAAAACCACTGAGCTATTCAAGAAACGCCACAGCTACCAGTTGCAAAACCTCTGTCTTACCCATTAGGAATATTTACTCTCAGGAGAGTACATGGAAACCAGTCTGAGGACAAGGATTATTTCTCCGTCATGGAGGATTAAGGAAATGACAGCAGAGCTGGAATTAGAAATTCAAGATTCTTAGATTTCCTTGCCTTTTAAACATACCTTATTGGATAATCAATCATCCATAAGGTTTTATTTGCTTTTCTAGCATCAAAAACTATCAGAGTGACTTACGTCAGGTCATTCGAGAAATAACTAACAGATTGTATCCTCCATTATTCTCATCAACATTCATTTGTGAGTTATGGTAAAAGATACAGCCCTTTTAACCTTTATATATGGTGAAAGATACAGGTCGTATATACCTTTATATATGGTAAAAGTTATAGCCTTATATACCTTTATGTATGGTAAAAGGTACAGTTCTTATATACCTTTGGAACAAGAGTCAAAATCTACCTATATTCCCACTCCCCCAGACATTCTTGTGTTTAATTTTATTCTTGAAGAAATCCTTTATTCTTATATCTAGAGAAAAATTATGAAGAAATTGTTTCTGAGAATGTTCTCATTAATACCAGCATGTTCTTTAGGTGTTTTCAGTTTCTTAAAGAATTTTGACAAAAAGTTTTTTATATTTCATATTATAAATGTTATTTTGCCTTTTCAAAGCATTCAAATATTAAAATGCCTTTGATATGGAATTCTGTTTTTAGCCTAAACTTTTCTCTAGACAATGTATAAATAAGTGTTGTTTTTTCAAGTGAGATTCTCTTTTTCCTTAGTGGAAGATGTACAGGTGTCTTGTTATAGAATTCTGACTAGCTTATATGCTTTGGGAACCAGCAAGAGTATTTATGTGGAGAGGTAAGATTTTTAAAGTTTAACTTTATATTAATAGCTGTTTTAAGTCTTATAACTATTTATTTCAAGAGTCTTCATTTTATAACTTTTTCCATAGTTATAAACTAAACCAGATTGACCTATTAAATTTTGAGGGAGTAATTAGACAATCTTTAAGTGAAATAAGAATTGATATAACAATAGACAGTGGAGTTACATAAAAAAAAAAGTAAAGCAATATGGTAAAGACCGTGCTTAAAATAAGGTTAAACTTAAGAATGTTTATGAGTCTTATGAAAGAATCTGCTAATACAGTTTCTCATTTTATACCAGAAATACAAAGTAAGCACAAATATATGCAGTTATTAAAACCAGTTTTATTCTTTCATGTTCTCAAGTTTCAGGAAGGAGTGGTTAACAGTGTCAAATGATGTGGACAGGTAAAGTAAGAAAAGAAGTCCCCATTGAACTGAAAGTAAGAGATCACTGGCAACTTCAGAAAGAAATTCCTGTGAACTAGAGAAGAAAGACAGCAGTTTTTTAAAAGGCTGGACTAAATAAAAGACATTCTGGTAGAAGATTTAATATTGAATAGATGTAAATTCTCTCCAGATTAATTACTAATTACACACAGTTCCAAACAGAAATTTGCTTTTTATTGACCTTGACCAAAAATAAATAAATAAATAAATAAGTAAGTAAATAAGTAAATAAGTAAATAAATAAATAAATAAACCCATGAGACTAGCCAGTGAAATTTGGAGAGAAAAAAAAGAGTAATGAAAGGGTACTCATTTGGTCTGCCAAGTATTAAAACTTATAAAGCTACAGTAATTAAAAGAGCGGGACCATTACATACAAATAGGAAATTAGATCCATGGAAAAGGATAATTGGGTTTACTCTGAATATTATTAAATTTTTATCTTCATTTTTAACTAAATGCCATTTTCATACAGTTTTTATGGTTACAAAATATTTTATACTAAAAAGTGTTGTGATTTCTTGAAATGTTACTTTATTTTTGACATGCAGGCTTTCTCTTTTTCACTAACAAATAATGCTAGATCTATGTTTATAGATTCCTATATATAATTATGCTTATTTCCTTAATTTTATTCTAAGAATTTAGAATTCTAGGTTAAAAGACAGGCACGTATTAGATTATGATACTCTATCTTTTCAGAAAATTGATTCACTTTACACTCAAATTTTACAAGCAAGTGCTCATTTTCTCATGTTTTTTCTCATTTCTGATTACATTTTTTTTTGCTGTTTGAAAATGTAATAATTAAAAATGGGATCTCACTTTTATTTTCAAATGCATTGCACTAATTACCAGTTATTTGCTATTTTTTCATGTTTACTTTGCCATTTTTATTTCTTTATTTTATGAATTGCCTTTTCTCATCTGTGGTGTATTTTTCTTTCTTTTTTTTTTTTTTCCTTTTTGTCTTTTTTCGTGTCCGGCAACGGATCGCAACCCTCAGTGTTGCGCCCGTACCGGACCAGGACCGGCAATGGGATCACAACCCTCGGTGTCGCGCCCGCACCTCGCTCAGCCAGTGAGCGGGAACCGGTCTGTATGTGGGATCCGAACCCTCGGCGGGAGCGCCGCCGCGCTCCCAAGCGGCACACTGTAGCAGTGCGCCACCGGGCCGGTCCTGTATTTTTCTATTAACGTGTTGTCTTATTGTTTTGTAATACTCTTGTTTATTAAAATGATTAACTTCTTGCCTATTATTTCTCTTGTTTTTACGAGTTTTATCATTTTTGTAACTTTATAGTTCTTCTATATAAAACACTATATGCAAATTCTGTCATAAAACACTATATGCAAATAGTGTTTTATGACATGGGAATTTTGACAAATTTTGTATAATCATATCTATCAATTATTTCATATATGTTCCTTTCTCTTAGTTGTGTGATTTTAAGAAATTTACACTATACTTTTAGCAGGTAAAAATTCAAGTGTTTATTGTCGTAGGTTTTTCATACTTTCAGTTATTTAGATTTAGCTTTTTAATCTTATTGTTCATTCACTAAATATTTATCAAATGCCAGATGCTGGTATACAACAGTGAACAAAATAGTTTCCTACCCTCGCAAATCTTATATCTGGCAGAGGAAACCAAAGCAAAACATACAAGTGAACCGATCAATGTGACAGTGGCAGGTTATAACGTGTTCTGTGAATAAGCACAGAATATAGAGAATGATGTATTCGGTAATATGTCTTCTAGAAAGTGACTGTTTAAGCTCATAACTTTCTTCCATGAAACAGAAAACAGGTAGGAGATAAATCAGGTGTGGACAGGTGTTTCCGGTAGCTTCTGTTTTCTCGGTGAAGTACAACTTGAGTCCTTGGCCAAATGATGGCTGGAAAAAAAAGGTTTGAGAAGTTTGAGGGAAGTAGGGAATATCTGAAATGATCATCTCTGGGGTAAGAAGGGAATTTACTAGAAAAATTCTGAGTTTCATTTCTTTTTGGCATTATGTAGGATTCAAATTCATTTTTTAAATCATCAACCGCATGTAGAATACTCATTTACTAAATATTTAATTGATCCTCTGACTTGATATAAAGCCTTCATCATATATTAAGTAGCATGTTTACTAAGTTATGACTCTAGAATTTCTGTTCTGTTCTGTTATTTGATTTTTGATGATTAAACCAGTACCATGTAGCCTGACTTGTTAGTATTTCATAATCTATTTTCGTGTCTGGTGGTTCACCCTCTCGTACTTTCTTGTTGCTGTTGCTTTTGTTTTTGTTGTTGCTTTTCTTGCCCATATATTTTTCTTGACAAAATTTGGGATCATTTTGTTAGATTCTAAAGAAAAAGATATTTAAAGTTTTGCTTTTAGGTTTTTCCCCCTTTTTTGCAGTTAATTTTTCAATTACAAAGTGATTTGGGAAGAACATAAAAAAAAAATTTCAAAGGTGAGTGGAAGATATTTTGAAAAATGAAAAAGTTACACTGTAGATCTTTTAACACAAGTCATACAAAAGAAAAATTGATATTTCCATAGTACCAACACAAATGATCTGAATTGGCCTTAGAATTACTAATCGAACCAGAATTTTAAAGTGAACTGTTAATGAAATAAAATAACTAGACCAATAAGTTATAAGGGAATACATGAACTTTGGGGTCATACATGAAATATTTTATGCTATTAAATTTTTTTAAAAAAATATGTAATTGACAAAATTTTGTGTATTTATGGGGTACAATGTGGTGTTTTGATTTATGTACACATGGTAGAATGATTAAATCGAGCTAATTAGCATATGTATCACCTCACATACTTATCGTTTTTGTGCTGAGAATATTTAAAGTTACTCTCTTAGCAAGTTTGAAATATCTGAGTACAATACATTCCTGTTAACTACAGTAACCATGCTGGGCAGCAGATCTCTTGAGCTTACTCCTGTCGATCTTAATCTTAGCCCAACATCCCCACCCTCTCTGTCGCCCCACCCCCAGCCTCTGGCAGCCATCATTCTACTCTCTGCTTCTCGGAGTTGGACTTTTTTGAATTCCACATATAAGTGAGATCATGCAGTATTTGTCTCTCTGTTAGGCTATTAAATTATTAAAGAAAATATTTCTCATTATTTTAAAACATTTATTGACCCTGTACTTTGTGCCAGAAGTTTTACAATTCTGCATTCCTATATTTAGGTAAGAAAGGCAAGGCTTACAACAAGTGAGACATTTTCCTGCAGTCACACGAGTGTCAGGGTTAGGACTGTAACTCTGAAGAGAAGCCTGTGCTCTTTGTAATTACTTGATGCCCTAAATCATTTTTAATAATGAAATATTACTAAGTGTTTGAATTGAACTCTATTTTATTTAATGTCATCTGTGAAAGGGCATTTTCCCCTGCCCAACTAGATATCTAGTCATTTTTAATTAAACTATTAGAAAATCAGGCATCATTAATTTTAAGTATTATATTGAAATTTAAATCTGTCTCCTAAGAGAATTATGTAATGTTGGCTTCATTAGGCCAATTTACTGACTTCTAAAATATTTATATAAAGTCTTTAATGGAGTTCATAATATGCTGAAATCACTTTCATATCATTGTATATTTAATAAACAATGTAACATGCCAGCAAAGCCTTGGATTCAGAGAGAGAATTTATATCAGTGGCAAGGGGAGCCTGGGTTCACCACCTGCTCTTAACCAATAGATCATGACTGCTTAAACACCTTCCTTCTCTTGAAAATGATAAATCATGTTTAAGTGTTATCAATATTTTTTAGCATTTAGTATGTCTTAGCGTTTCACAGCTATCTTGAAATTACTTTTATATGATAAATTTGCAGAAAATGTATTAGTGTAATAGTGCTTTATTTTAAAATTTTTCTCAACCACTTATTCACATAGCAAAAATTGTTTTCTCAGTGGATCATTCTGTTAAAAAGGGAAAAAAGAGAGAAAGGGAGAGAAAAGGAAAAGCAAAAAAAGTGCAGCTTTGTGGGGAAGTGACAGCTCTTTTCTTGTTATTTTAGTCTGTGTACTGTTTTTAATTTCTCTTTTGCTAGTAGATAAATTATGTTTATTTTTTTTTTAGTGAGAGATTTTGCTGTTGAAAACAAATGATGTTTTGCAATATGCAGATTGGATTTGAGAGTTAATTTTGTTAGTAGCAATATTATTGTCCCTCGTTTAGGTTAAGCTACCAATTTTAATGTAATTTCTTCAGTCACTCACTTGAAGACATAAAAAATAAGCATTTTTCACTTATAGGCAACGTTCTGCATTAGGAGAATGTCTAGCTGCCTTTGCTGGTGCCTTTCCTGTAGCGTTTCTGGAAACTCATCTTGACAAACATAACATTTACTCCATCTACAACACTAAGTCTTCACGGGAGAGAGCAGGTAACAAACGCAGAGGCGTGTGCGGTGTTTGTGAAATGAAGCTGAGACTTAATGTTGTTTATTGTACTTGCCAACGGTGGTTTTTACTGAGCTGTTTCAGTTTACTATCTCCAGTGTTCTTTGTTCTTAAGTGCTGTTGTTTGATGTTACATTTTTTGCAATGCCAAATATGAGGATACTTTAAAAAATTCATGGAAAGATTCGTACTATCTTTTGATTCTGTTTTTCCACAGCCTTTTTGAAGTACCCTCGTACTGTTCCCCTACTGTTTCTGAAAGAAAATTTGTTCAATTTCTTCTAAGTTAATGAACCACAGACAAATTAACACTCTTGAGAATAAGACAAAATAATCTGCAAACATGGAAAAAAATAGGTCAATCTGATTTTTTATTCAGTTATCTCTTACAGTTAGTCAGCAAGGGACATGGCTTTATTGTTCATTATATCTATGGATTGTACCTTTCATTGGTATTTGTTTAGATATTTCTGCCTTATTAGGACAGTTTTATTCCCTGTAATTTTTTTAATAGTGTGGTCCAATTTTTATCATTTAAAAAATTTAAAAACATAAATTTGGGACACAGTTAACAACTTTACTTTGCACCTGGCCCTAAGATGGGTATTCCTGAGATTCATGTGCTGTATATGCTCTACATATATTAATGTCTATATATACTCACGCTTCATGTCGCATTCCGTTTGGGAAAATCTAATTATTATTTGGTAGGTAGATAGGCCCTTTTTTTCCTTTTTTTTTTTTTCACTGTCTCAGTTGGAAAAAACCATTGTTGATGATTTCAGTGATGGACTTTTGAGAACCTATTAGAATTGTTAACTAGGATTTGAACTTAAATAACTGAATAGTAAATAAAGTGGAAACTAGTTATTCATCTAGTCAGCATTTTAAAGCAATCAAAGCGCAGTTCTCAAGGCCTGAACATCACACAAGGCTCTCTCATAGAATTTTTTTCAGTTTGATTTCTTCTAAGTCTGATAAAATATCAGGGATCTCAGAAAGTTCAGGGAAGGATGCATATTATCTTTTAATTGCATTTTTTCAATGAACTTTTTGAAGTACCCTCATATATTATATTTCAGTTGTTTTCCAATAGCCCTGAAGATCTCTCAAACCTTGGGCAAGGGCTCTTTGCTGTTTACAAAATGCAAACCTCTTTTGTTAATGAGCTTAGTCTCCTGTATGGACTTTGTGTTATGGGATTTAATAGTGATCTTATCAAGGAAAGGATCTTTTCAAACCTTGAATAGTCATTTTTTAATTTGTTTATTTTATAATTCTAATTGTATGTAACAAATGATGTTAAAGAAAAATATGTTAAATGTGCCTTAGCAATAACTTTCTACATAATTTCCACAATATATTTGTAAATAGTTATAGAATCATAATTGAGTTTGAATTACTAATCTTCTCTATAAACATGTAAAGAGCTGTCTTATTAAGGCTTTTTGATCAGTTAATATTTTTGCTACGAATCAAAAATGAAGCAGATTTTTTATTTCATTACAGATAAGAAAATACACAAAGTAATTTACCTGCTGATGTTTCTATAACAGATCATTTGCATAACAAAGTGAAGGGATTAAATTTAATGATTCTCTGTTTATTTTTAGTCAGTCATTTAGAAAGGAATTATGATGTACACTGTGGTAAATGGAGGAGATAGGATACAAAGATGAGTAAGATTTGATTCTTTTCCTTAGGGAGTTTTTACTTGCAGTAGAGGGAGAGATTTTGATAAATATATGTGGTAGAATTTATAATAAGGAACACTGGGCACACACAAAAAAGCAGTTTCTGCTGAGAACACTTGGAAAGACTTCAGAAAGCTGGTATGACATGAGTCTTGCAATTAGGAAGACTGAAACTGGTACGTTAGGGGGAATTTCAAGCATTTTGACATGCCTGGAAATAGTTTTCAGGAGAGAAAAGAGTGAAAGAGGGAGGCAGGCTTCTATGTCGGGTAAAGAGTGGGGACTGCCACTGGCTTGAAACGGGGGATTACCTTGAGTAGATCTGCATTTTAGGAATCCACTGTGACAGCAGTATGGAAGAGGACTGGCCGTGCCATTCAGGAAGGAGAGGATGGGCGAGGCCCTGGACAGGAGTGTGCAGGAAGAGGCGTGAGAGCGCCTTGGGGTAGAATCATCCCATGGGGGATATGAGGGGGCATCGCAGCTGTAGGTTCTCCCTGGTTTCTAACCTAGGAGCCTGACTGGATAACGTTGTTATCACCGAGTTAGTGCATGCCTAGGAGGTAGGTTGGAGAGGAAAGGAAACCTTTAAATTTAGACCAGATGTGTTTTAGTTGCTTTTGAGAGATCCAGGATTAGACAGAAAGATTTTTAAGAAATATGGCTTTGAGAGTCATTAGCTTATGGCAGAAGCCTATAGGTATGGCCATAATTGCCTAGACAAACATGTAAGATGAGCAAGAGAAGAAAATTAAAGACAGATCCCTAAAGAAAAGCAACATTTAAAAGTTGGGCAAGGAGAAAAGAGTCAGTAATGAACACTGACAAAATTAAGAAGTGAGCTCATAAGACTGTATACTTTGAAGTTAAGGAAGAGGGGAGTTTGAAGGAAAAGGGGATTTGGTCCGTGAGGTGAAATGCCACTGAACGTTAGTGAGAGAAGGGTTATAAAAGCAGAATCGGTGAGAAGTGGAGAGCAGAAGTGTCGTGGCTGTGGGCAGAAGATGCCTGGAAAGCTGAGCAGTCCTGGAGAGATTGAGCATCCATGGGGCTGCTGGGGAGGAGGCACTGCAGAGGAAGAGGCTGGAAGCACAGGCCTGAGGAAGGCCCCTGATGTGCAGAAAGCATCCTAAATACAAGTGGAACCAGGAGGAGGGCCTCAATTCTTCATCTGAAAATGGGGCATGGAAGCGAATGTGGGACCAGATGTAGAAGGTGTGCGGACCCCAAAAGCAGGAAGCTGGAAGAAGAGGCATTTGATATTCTTGTTTGCTGTGAAGTTGCAGGATTGGCCGTTCACTGCCTGCAAGGGAGCAGTGGTAGGGTAGGAGCTTGGGAACAGGAGAGAAGCTTTGAAATAGCTGCTGGAGAATGAGGAGCAGGAGCCAGTTAAAGGCATGCCAGGCTTGCTGCGTTTTGAAGCCCCAGTGGAATGGGTGCCAGTGTCTGTTACAGTTAGTGGAAGACTGGCATGTTGAACACAATCTGTTTCTTTGTGTGCTTCTCCAGCTCTCAGTTTGCCAGCTAGTGTGGAAGATGTTTGTCCAAATATACCGTCTTTGGAGAAACTCATGGAAGAAATTGTGGAATTAGCCGAGTCTGGCATCCGCTACACTCAAATGCCACATGTCATGGAAGTCGTACTGCCCATGCTTTGTAGCTACATGTCTCGCTGGTGGGAGCACGGCCCTGAGAACAATCCAGAAAGGACTGAGATGTGCTGTACAGCTCTGAACTCAGAACACATGAACACACTGCTGGGGAACATATTGAAAATAATCTATAATAACTTGGGCATTGATGAGGGAGCCTGGATGAAGAGGTTAGCAGGTAGGAATTGGAAAGAAAGGTACCCGTTAAATTTGTTCTATTTCCAAAAAGATTTGCTATACAGAAAACTAGAATTTTCCTATCATAGTTTTTATTAATATGTTATTTTCTTAAAAAATGTGGATATAATCAGACATTGAGTAACTTTCCTTATAGTTACTACTTTAAAAATAAGCATTTTCCTGATTTGACAATCACTATAAGATTTGTAATAAACACAGCAGTACAAACTCATGATTGTGTATAGAGAGACAAAAATAAAACTGGATTTTTAAACAGCCTGCTTTTGTCAGGCTGCCCTTATGGGGAGGTGAATCAAAAAATGCAGTCAAAGGTTTGCAATTAAGTTCCTCAGTCGTTGCATAGTTTATAATGAAGAACTGGAAGCAGTCTCAGTACCCAACAACCATAAGTTATGGACATCCGTGTATGTACCAGCATATTATGCCTTCTTTAAACATCAAGGTTTCAACAATGTTTTATGCCTTGGAAGTGCTGGTGATATCATCATGGTTGAAAAGAAGAGTTTTTTAACCACTGAGTTCAGAATGATACATATATAATATATACATTTATAAATTTATCTATTGATGAAAACTTCAAAACAATACACTAATGCCTTACTAATTTGGGTAGGTGATTATTGTTGATTTTAACTTTTCTTTCTTATACATTTCCCTAATGTATCTATGTTACCTTTAGAGGAATAATTCCTTTTAAAAATAGCTTAGTCAAGTTTAAAACTGTTATTAACAACTATAACTCTTATTAAATAAAAGAGTATCATTCTCTGTAATCAAGTCTTTCCATTGGGCCAAGGATGGGGATTGTTACAGTGAGATAGTTCTCTGTGGTCTCATATAATTATGCAGCAGAGAGTGCCCTCTTCTAAAGAAAGGGCTAGGGGAACCTTTTCCATTTGGCGACTTGACTTCTTCGTGTAAAAATAATTGATTTCCAAAGCGAATAAAAGTCTTTTTTTGTTCTATTCTAAATTAGCTATCAATATTTTTTAAAAATTCAATTCAGTGACCACTTTTGAACAGCAACTATGCAGTTCGGTTTTGGACTAGAAAAATGGCTGAGACTTGGGCTCTGCCCTTGGGAAGTTATGTGTTGGGGGAGAGGGAAGCTTGAATGTGCTACACTTGTAACTACAGCACATCCTCATTCTAGCGAGTGTTTGTACAGAGCGCGAAACACTAATGTCTGTCTTCACACAGTGTTTTCCCAGCCTATTATAAATAAAGTGAAACCTCAGCTCTTGAAAACTCATTTCCTGCCCTTAATGGAGAAACTCAAGAAAAAGGCAGCCATGGTGGTGTCTGAGGAAGACCACATGAAAGCTGAGGCCAGGGGGGATATGTCTGAGGCTGAACTTCTCATCCTCGATGAGTTCACCACGCTGGCCAGAGACCTCTATGCCTTCTACCCGCTCTTGATTAGATTTGTGGACTATAACAGGTACAAGGTTCAAAAGTCATTAATTTTCCTAATTCATCCATAACCTTTCTTGGCTCACATGTCCCTGTTGAATTGCTTCATTCACTAACTACTTGGCCATGAGCTTTTTCATGATTATAACATAAATTAAATGTTTATAGTCAATTTTCACCAAGTATCTTAAAACTAGAAATCACATTCTGAAGCACACTGCCTTTGGCATGTAAAAGTTAGCAGTTTGACAGTTATGGTTTAAATTTTTTTTAATGTTACAACTATATGCTGAAACCACGAAGAGCTATGTGGTCAGCAAATTTACCTTTGGGAGGGTGATTATTTTTAACTAGCTTTGAGGAGTGACTGAGAAGCCACTTTACTTATTGTGTGATCCAGGGCAAAGTGGCTGAAGGAGCCAAACCCAGAAGCCGAGGAACTCTTCCGCATGGTGGCCGAAGTGTTCATCTTCTGGTCAAAATCCCACGTAAGGATGAAGATACTAACAAGTGGTGCCTACTGTTTGGTTTATGACAAGGGCTTTTTAAATGTTAACCAATTTCCTAATTCCCCTCGGTGACTACCTATGGTGGGGTTTCTCAAACTTGTGTATTACGTTTGGCTTAACCATTGAGGAGAGAGAAGAGGAAAGAGAATAGGTTCCCTGGGGAATCTGAGGGAATATGAAACTTCCTTTGAGTTTTATCATTTGACTTTAAAAAGAATCACAGGGATTTTTATCATACTCCATAAACACTTTGAAGTTTGCCCCTAAATCTTAGATGAATATTGCCACTACATAGAGCTGTACCGTTTTTATTCTCTCGCTTTCCCTATCTCTTGCGATTTTGCTACCTAACCCCAGGAGTACTCATGCCTCAGCGTGAGAAATGCTGAGACTGTCTAGTGTTTTCCAATTATAGGACATACTCATTTTACTTATAAAAGTACTACTTCCTTAAATTTGTTTTATATTCACACACTTTCATTTCTATAGGAATTTAGTTTGGCTCACATTTTAGAATTGGTTTGCTCTTAAAATAAAGCTTCTGCTAGGAATCCTATTGATAAAATTTCTAAAGTGTGTGATTAGTGGATTTCCACTGTTTTATATGTTGCAAGTAGAACTATATATTTATAAATCTTGAAAATATTTTAATCATAAGAATTATAGCATTTATATATAGCATATATAGCATTATAGCAATTATAGCATTCCATCATTTATTTCCCATAACTGGCAGAATATGGGTAGGTGAATTATCCCAAATTATTTTTAAAAACTTATAATTTTTATGTCAAGTTTGACTCTATACCACTTTGTAAATGGGAGACTCTGAGAAAGTAAAAATAAAAACCTCAACCTCAGTTTCACCATCTGAGGTATCTTCCTAGTTTATTTCATCAGATTGTTGTATAAATCAAATTACTTTTTGTCTGAGTCTATAAAACTTAATACCAAACTCTATGTAAAAACATATAATCACACAGAAAGGATATACAGTCGTCCTTCAGTATCTATGGTGGATGGTTCCAGGACTGCTGTGGATACCAAAATCCACGGATACTCAAGTTCCTGATATAAAATAACATAGCATTTGCATGTAATCTGTGCACATCCTTCTGAATACTTTGTCATCTCTAGATTACTTATAATACCTAACACAGTATAAATGCTATGTAAATAATTGTTATACTTTATTTTTTTATTTGTACTTTTTTGTTATTTTTATTGCTTTTTAAAAAATATTTTTGGTCTGCAGTTGGCTAAATCTGCAGATACTGAAGGACAACTGTATGAAATAATTGCTTTTTAAACCTGTAAATTTGGATTTTCACATTAACATTCTTTATCTGTGATGTCATAGGAAATTATATGAGATTCTGTATGTTTCTCTAGGTAAGAGCAAATGATTCCTTATGTCACATAACTCATATTAGCGGGAGGCATTAGATCGAGCAGGGTATTCTGAAGGAAAATTTAAAACCCAGAAGAAATCAATTCATCTCGAGCTGCCAAAGAACAAAATGGATTTTGGGGGTTTTACCTATTATTTTCTCTGTTGGGTTACTCTGCCTAGAATGTTTAATGGGCAAATAAGAAGAGGCCAGGAATAAATCACTTAAGAAACCTAAAAATTGAATATTTTTCCTTGAAGAACTAAGAATCTTCAAATTCATCAATACCTAAAATATCAAAGAGGCTTTTAAAAATTTATATGCAAGACAAAAGTTTGAAACAAGAATGCAGTGATCCTCCTTTATCCACAGTTTCACGTTCTGTGGTTTTGGTTAGAGTCAACTGCACTCTGAAAGTATTATACTATTTTGAGAGAGGGAGAGGCCACATTCACATAAGTTTTATTATGGTATGTTGTTATAATTATTCTCTTTTATTATTAGTTATTTTTGTTAATCTCTTACTGTGCCTAACTTATAAGTTAAACTTTATCATAGATATGTATATATACAAAAAATCATAGTGTATATGTAGGCTTTGGTACTATCCATGGTTTCAGGCATCCACTGGAGGTCTTGGAACACACCCCTCTCTGATAAGGGGGTGTTTACCATAATCATTAGGTTTTTAGATGAATGTCTAAGGATGCTTTCAAGAATAAGAAAAATATCTAAATATGTTCTTTTGAATCTCAGGGGGCATATTTAAAACATAAATCTGTAATATGTGTTATATTCTTCTCCAAATATTGAAAGATGAATTGACTTTGCTTAGCCTTTTTATGTTCCCAAACTAAAAGTAAATAAAATAATGTTGCTATATTTTAAAAAGTAGGCAAAATATCTAACAATAGAAAGTTACATCATAATTGTATGTGTCCTTAGAAAGTCTATATCAGATAAATATTTATCTCAGGAAGCACTATTTAGCTTATCACCAGCTAAATTAGGGTTTGAATACTCATTTCACTATTTGGTAGGTGTGTGACATTAAGACTTAAATATTCTGAGCCTTGTTTTCCCATCTTTAAACATACATATTCCTATCTAGTTCCCAGAATTGTTGCTCCTAACCAAGTGCCCTCATTAGATACCCAACAAATATGTGTTCCCTTCCTTGATAAGTCTTATGTATCGAATTAATACTTACCTAGTAGAAATGTTTGGGTCCTGTGTAACCTCTAATTTATGGGTTTCTTATCTAAGTGGTTTTAACTGAAATTTCCTTTGCAACTTCTCAGAATTTCAAAAGAGAAGAACAGAACTTCGTTGTACAGAATGAAATCAACAACATGTCTTTCCTTATTACTGATACCAAGTCAAAGATGTCAAAGGTATTGCTGCACACTGTCTCACTGCTCTCGAAAATGTCTGAATAGGACTTTCAGGGATTGACTTCGTTTACATTTTTTTTTGAACATTCATAACCGGAATCTGATAAGTTAGGTACTAGTATTTACTGATTACAAACACATACTGTTCTGAGGGTACCCAGGATTTGTTTTAAGCAGGGGTGGTGAGACACGCAGATGTGGAAATGATTGTCACGAAGGAAGCAGTTTTTATTCACAGATCCCTAGAAACAGGAGGCACAGCATGCCATGCAGGGCCACTCGGAGAAGCCCCGGGGCTGGTGCGGAGGCAGAGGGAGTGAGGGGGAAGTGTGGGCAAGAGCCTCTCCTGTAGATTTCGCGGGAAGGAAGGAGCAAGGCAGGGTAAAGGTTTGTGGTTGGCTAGTCTGAATAATTTTCATGGGCTCTGGGGCATAGGGGTTGTCCTTAGTTGTCTGGTACCTGTCCCTGGGATAATTAGGGCTGGTAGATAGTAGTCCATGATATGAGAGCTTGATCAGGAAGGTAGGGGGTGTGGGCTCTGGATTGTTAATTTGTATATGAAGAGCAGGCTCTCAGGTGAGTCATTTACTTCTCTAGGAGTTGCCTAGCCCTGGGAGGGGCAGTCTCTACAGGATCAGCCAAGTGCCAAGTTGTCAAAACATTAGAATAAAGTCATGCTTAACACACACACACCCACCTATGCCCACCCACACAGGCACATACACATGCATGTACCACACTCACAAAATTGCCAGTCAGCATTCTATATACATCACTAGCTGATATGTCTTAAAGAGTGAGTATTTTTGTACTTTGTGTGCCAGACATATGGAAGTCAAATTAATTAGCTGCATTGTTTAAAACCACCTGGATGAATTCCAGGTCCTCACACAGATTTTCGTTTTCTCTACCACTCATGTTGGGGAAGAGAGGAACTTTGTCTCAAAAGACTGAAATTCATGCCTTTATCTTTTGCATTACCACTAAATAAGAAAAATAAATGTGTTACATGTGGTAGCACACATAGTTTGCTGCCAAATGGCCAAAGATGCAAACTAGAGTGGTACTCTGGCCAAGGAAATCAGCCTCTTCTGACTCAAATTGTGGGACGAGAGCTGCTGTGGGAGGTGACCCCCTCCGTTCAACTCTACAGCCACCTGTTCCTCAGAACTGCTTTACTGGCTGTCACCAGGGCAGTAGAATAGCATCACTTGAAAGGCCTGGTCTTTTTTAGAGTTTTAAATGCCACACATTTGCACTGTAACATGTGAGCTAGAAGCTAATGCCAGCGGAAGCCTCGCCTTATGTAGAACATGTGTTGGACTGCTACAGGCTCTTGCTCCTTGTGAATGCTCTTGAGGCATACGCACAGATGACTTTTCTCCTCTCTGGGCTGACAGTAAACCTAAAGATTGGGGAGGTGCTATAATAAGAGGACAGATTTCACAGATGTTGTAAACTGAAAACTGTCAGTAAATTTTTCTGCTAAGGCAGCATGTTGTCAGTTTAGGCCAGTGTTGAGAAAGGCACAGAGGAAGGAAGGAAGAGGGTCCACACTTCCTTTGGGAGAATGACAGTGATTCCAGTGTATCCTCAAATGCAAGATGCATCAAAGGTCTTTAGAGCAGAGGTCTGTGTATCCCTGTACAGACATCCTTTTCCCTCTCTTCCATCATTCGAGTCCAGTGATTGTCAAAGTATTCTCTCAAAGCACTGCACAGCCTATGAACTATACTGAGGCTCCTGTAAACATGGACTAATGGTAGCATTTACTCCTACCGCACAAAAAAAAGAATTGAAAGTAATGGGTAGGATCATCTCCATTTTAACATTCACCCCACCCCCCAGATTTCTCAAAGTAAAAAATTTAACGTTTTTCTTAAACATATGACTACCAGCACTCTGAGACAAGACAGAAGATAATAGTAAGAAAATTTAAAAATTTAGAAATACTAAGTATGCTTATCTTCCTTGTTTAAATTTTTTTTTTGTTTTTGCCTGAACATGTGTTCGTAGTTTTGTATTACACAAGTGTCATAAACTTTTTTCCTAGAAATAATGTTTCTAGTTCAAACAATGGAGTCAATACTCTAATATTTTATATTGCTTTGGTAAAGGAATCCTGATGTCCATGTGTTTCAGCCTTTGGACAGACTTGTTGGCCATAGAAGCATAGTAACTACAAGTTTATCAGTATTACTGAGGGGCTCTGCTGAACCACAGGTGGCCTGAAGGACCTGAAAGTGGGATGTAGTCAGGGGATGAGTAACGTCTATCCCAAAAGCTGTGCTGTTCAGGCCTGGTTTCAAGAGCAAACAGCCAGATTGCCATTGGTATCGCATCTGAGGCCGAATGAGCAGAGAGCTGCTTCTCCTGCAATGCTGACAGCCAAGAGATGCAGAAAACCTCACGGATTCCTGTAGTAAGACCTCACATCATCTGCCTGAGGCAGCAAAACAGCAGACATACCCACCTCTCAGAGTCCTGAAGGAAAAACAAATTCCCTTTGAATGGGGGAGATTTAGACCAAATGCGCGTAGACACACAAGCCAGAGGACACATGGCCCCGTATCAGTCTACAGCCATTCACCCAAGCAGGGGATAATCACTATTTGTATGAGGCACCAGTCCCCAGATTAGAAGGGAATATAAAATCGAGTGAGACCAGCAGACCAGTTTAGAATATGGCAATCCAGGGTAGGGACCTCATTTTGACTTAAAGCAAAATGTGTGTAACTCTTGAGGCAGATAGAGGCCAGTGCACATAAAATTGGCAATAATGTTCTTAGAGGGAGAGTGACCACGTTTTTGCATGGACACCTGCTGTGCCTTTTGTAGGGACATAGGTCATAGTGGTGGTGACTGCAGCACGTGGCGTTGGTACTTGGATTCTGTTTGTCAGTGCACATGGGATGGACCTGTAGGTAGCACACCAGTGCTTTCCTTTCAGCGCAGCTTCTTTCTCTGCTCCCAGATGTGGTCTCGTAGCCCTAGGTTACTCCTACCTAGCAAGGCACTTGGTCCCTCCTCCTGCAGCCCAACTGTGACTTCTGTTACACTCTCCATTCTTTGAGAGCAGGGAACATATTTTGTTTACTTGGTAACTCTAAAGCTCAGTGCAGTACTTAGAGCCTAGTAGCTACTCAATATGGATAAGTTAAATTAAATTTTGACTTTTAAAATGTGGAATTTGGTCATTAATCTAGGCTTTTTTGTGTGTCTTATTTTACTTTGCTTTTACTGACTCACTGTTGCAGTGGTATAAATTATATAATGTCACCACATTGTATGGCTAGCATTGCTGACGTTTTTAATTTCATAACTTGTTTTTAAAACTTATACAGATAACATTTATTACAGATTTTCTGTTAATTTGTTGAAGTGAGGAAAAAATAATGGATTTTGCCTGTTGTGTTATAGAATTGTATCCTATTTTTAAAGATTTTATTTCCTGTTGAAATGTGACTAGCCTTGTGCATTTAAAGCTGAGTTCACTTTTATAATTAGTATATCTGAACTATAAAAAAAAATAAATACCTTTTGTATTTTTTGTAGGCTATTTCAGTCTAGGAATATTAGAAAATTATTTGTAAATTCTCATTGAAAGGCTAGGAGATAAGTACAACAAGTTAAAAATGTGTTTGTTTCCTGCTCTGGGTGTAGGAAGAAGTTTGGCTTTGAGAGGCAGATAAGCCGGGAGTGCCATCGCTGCCTCTTCATAACTGTGATACCATCACTAATCCCAAACCCATTCACATCAGCACAGTGTTTGCCATGTCACTCTCCTCAGTGGATGGTGATAAAGATCAAAATAATGTGTGTATAGTGTCTCACGGATTGTGAGCACCCAACACATTTTAACCAATATTATTGTAGTAATACAATGATAAAGTTAAAATACAGTTGAATATCTAACAATCATATGAATAATAAGTACTTAGAGACATTTTAGAGGCAGACATCGATAGGAGAGTCAAAGAAGATTTCATTGGGCAGTGAGGATTTGAATTCAGTATTGAAAAATGAATTGTTCCTAGCTGGGTCCTAAGGAGAGGTTGGAGGAGGCAGCTGGCATCCCATTTCATTTAATTATTCAGCAGAAGCTTGACAGTCTTAAGGAGAGTCTGCTTCATGCTTTCCTGCCTTTTTCCTGGTCATCTATTACATTTAAGAGTATTTTAGATGAAATTGTTAGAGTGATATTTGTGTTTGTGTGTGTGTGAGAGAGAGAGACAGAGATTGATTGATTTAGGAGAAGGCTCAGTTTACACACTTTGCTCCTTAAATGTGCCCAGATATTGGCCATGTTATTACATATTCATTCATATATGATCTAAATGTTAGGGAATATATTGAAGATTAAATATTTTGCAAATTCAGTAGCTTTAGTGGTTCTGCTTAAATTATTCAGCAGCTCTGTGGGCATGGCACAGTGCTTGGTTTTGAAAGTACAGAGGGACACAATAGGATTGGCCACTGCCCTAATGGACCTCCATAGTCTGGGGAGGAAACAGGCACTGCACAAACAAACAAACAAAACCAACCAATATATATACACAAGGATATTTGGTTGCTTGTAGATTTAATTTCTTCTTTGTACTAACCATAGGTTAGTTCCACCCATAAGTGTTTAAAGGTTTACTAACTTCTCTTTCTAGTTACAGATTTTCTGTGGGATAGAAAGCAAGATTATTGTTTGAGCATTATTAGGAATTCATTTGGCTAGTGCTTCTCAAAATTGAGCAATTTATAGTTGCCTTTAATGTTGAATTAAATTATTTTTAATAAAATCACTTATATTTATGAATGTCAAACCAGATATAAGTTCCTTTTACTTATACAACATAAAACCAGAAGAGCTATACAACTTAAAATCAAAGAAAATCACACCACCAAAGAAATTCAAGCCTTAATATATTGAGGAATGTTGTTTTGCTGAAACTAAGTTACCAGTATTGGAAAGAAGTATATTTGTATAATTTCTATCAGTTTGTTTAATTTTCAGGATGATGGTTCCTCATTTGGGTAATTATTTTTATTGTTTTAGTTATGTTTCCAGTTAAACAAAGAGCTCATTTAAACCACTGATTCATTACTTTTATGTGTTAATCAATTTAATAGTACAAATAAATATTATATTTTTTTCTTATAAACTTTTTAAGAATAATTTCTTACGTGTTGGTACATATAAAAATGGGATCCATGCAATAAGTACTTTCCACTGGAATGTAAATATGACTCTTATTGCTATAATTCAGAAAATTATAGGTTTGATATAACATATCAAAATATAATACATGTGCAATTATATATCATATTATAATATATTATACAATGCATGTTATATTATTAATATAATATAGAATCTACCATTACTATATGATGGCTCAGTTGTTTCCCTACTTTCACTATGCTGAAAACTTCTTTCCACATCATGTGAGTAAAGCAAATAATTTGTATATTAAATTATCTTTTGTTTTTTCTTAATAGCCAAGTCTATTACAATATGTCACTATCATGGAACTATGTTCCAAGTTTGAATTACTGCCACAAAAAAAATTCAACATTTTCAAAGAAGTGGATATAGGACAATTATTTTAATTTTGATATTAAAACATACTCTCTTAATAGAAATACTCAGAGAAAATTAGACTCCATCATCTGAGGTGATCCTGTGGCACCAGCATAAGCCTCAAAAAAATCACAAGAGAGCACTGAAGTGGCCTGGCACTATTCAGATCTAAGATGGTCATACAGATAATCCTGAATATTTATGAAACACTGATAAGTATATTGCTTCTGTTTCTGCTAGAGAGGGATTGAGGCTCTAGAGAAACAAGTTTGTAGTTTGCAAACTATATAAAAGGAAAATGTGTTTTGCAATAAAACAAAAGTTTTATATATAAAGTTTTTAATAAAAAGTTTTATATATACCATGTATATACACACACAGACACACCCAATATCTATGTATGTATATGTATTGCAAAGCAAGCATTTGTCAAAACAAAAATAATGCTTTGTTCATAAATATTTTTTGCTTGAGCATTGAAACTTAGAAAATATACAGTATCTGAAATTACCACAGGATTTTTTATATATTCATTTGCTTCCCTAAAATTACACTGTGCATTTTTCCTCTAAAAATTACGTGGAAATGCATACCAGTGAATTATAATGACCTAGGAATCTGAGTAGGACTTAAAATTAGCAAAAGATGCTAAGAAGGAAAGCGAAAAATTATTATCAGAACTAAGAACAGTAGGATTTTTCAAAAACAGGGAGCAGGCAAAAACAGGGGAGACGTAGCGACAGTCAAGTTAATGAAGATTCTGAATGTGAGAGAAGCAGGCACAGACCCCAGCGCTTCCCTCTGCTCCACAGGCAGCTGTTTCTGATCAGGAAAGGAAGAAGATAAGGCGCAAAGGGGACCGGTATTCCATGCAGACCTCTCTCATCGTGGCGGCTCTGAGGCGGCTGCTGCCCATTGGTTTGAACATCTGTGCCCCTGGGGACCAGGAGCTGATTGCTCTGGCCAAAAATCGATTGAGTCTGGTAAGTCTCCTTTACATCCTCGACCTCCAGAGTGGAGTGTTAGTCTCCTTTGTCTCACTGTTCTATGTCAATATTTTATCTGCACTAAATGTTTTATTAAGCAGTTTTTCTGACAGGCCCTAGCCTTCAAATACAAAGATTGCCTTTTTGGGGGGAGACCATTTCTTATTTCTAAGTTATGTTAATGATTCTGGGGCATATTTAGGAACCAAACCAAGAAGACACAAACAAATCTCTGGTAGTGAAAAAAAAAATGGATTTCATATGGACTCCTATAAAAGTTTATGATAAGTGTATTCACATTTATGAAGGGTTATTTTTCAATACTGGAAGTGTAATATTCGGTGCCAGTTTTGGTTAGATAGGTGTTGACTTTTAAATCAACAGCTCTTTTCCTTTGCAAGCATCAAGATTTAAGTTCTCAATATTTCTTTATGTCCCCTCTTTTTCCTCTTCATAGCTATGCAGATGAGAAAGCAATCTGTCAAAAATATACGTTGGAATTACTATTTATATTTATGGCAGTTGGAAGATATGTTTTCCCTACTTCCAGTCCCACAGAGAAGCACCTCTCTTTATATCCAGAGATTAACACCCTGAAATGAGTGAATTGAGGGGAGGTGGTGGCAGTTGTCTAGCGTTTGATTCTCAAATGTGTGCTCCCTGCTGTTCATAGATTTTAGAGGAAGTTACTAAGTGCTACAAATGACTTCGAGGAGATTTGGGACAGTGCTGGAGATAAACTTCTGTTTGAGCCCAAGGGAACATGCTTTTGGCCCTCTTCCTGTCATGGATTGGAAACTTAGTTCCACTGAGTCTTAATGCACTTACTGTGCAGTTAAAGTAGGTTTGCAGTCTGGCTTCAAGGTACAGCAATATTTGCAAATTATCTGAAGGAGAACACCCAGAATTTGTGGCATGTGTTCTGATAAAGATGTTTGTCAGACATATACCAGTTTGAAAGAGGTTTGCATTGTTTCTACTGACTTGTGACAGTTGATGCATTGTGAGTCATTTTAAGTAACATATATTTCTTGACAGAAAGACACTGAGGATGAAGTACGAGATATAATCCGCAGTAATATTCATTTACAAGGCAAGGTAAGCCAAATTTTATTCTAAAGCAGATTTAATATATCTTTAAATTTGTCAATCTCTCTTTAGAATAATACTAGAAATAAAGTTACTTTACCAATTAAGGTAGTGAAAATATATTATTTTAATCATTCATTTTCCTACTTGAAAATCCTTTGGTATTAAAAGCTCTAAAAATGATAAGTGGTGTATTTTTGAAGTAGATCACCAGAGATTGTCAAACTTTGAAAAAAAAATGTCACCAGTTGAAGTAAAGATTGCTTATATTCTTTGTGTAGCTGAGGGTCTTTGGGACTTGGAGATAGGTGTCCATAAGAAACTGAATTGAGTGGTCAGAAATTAAATATGTACATTTAAGACTTATTAGTATATGGTGGGAACGGTGAACTGCTGCAATAGGAATAAATGAGTTTACCCAAGAAGAGTAATATACCTTTAGAAGAAAAACATGGATGGAAGCCGGTATAACACCTACTTTTTAATGGTGGGTGAAAGAATTGTTAGAAATAGTTTTGCAGTCCAGTGATCATTTAGTATTATTTGGGAACTTTTTCATACCAGTGAATAAATTATTCATTTGTTTACAGAAACTGTTAGTAATTTAAGAAGTCTTACTATTACTTTAACTCAGCCTATTTGCTTCTGTTCTGGTGTCCCTTCTGAGGAACTTTTTAAAATTATGTAAATGTCTAAATGTCAGTAAGTAGTAATAGCTATATAACGTTTGCCTTTCTGGGTATTAAAATGTCTCTTTCCAAAGATCTAAACCATATTCTTTTTCTTTTAGCACTTTGGAGTATAATATGATAATGACAAGACATTCCTTTACAATATTCACAATGAACAAATATTTATTTATAGCAAATTTTATGTGAACTTTGATGTGTACTCAGTCATGCATTTAGTAATAACTCTTCCAGAGTAGGTGACTAATTCCTTTTAGAGTATGATCTCTTTTCAGATAGCAAAAAGATTTTGAACATTTAAAAAAATGTTCATAAATCTTCCAGTTGAACCTCCAGGGGAGAGCATACACTGCAAGTGTTTTCCCCCTTTAGGAAGAGACACTAGATGTTTTTACATACTTGGATGTTTGAGGGGATCATGTACCCCTGAAAGGGTCTTGGGGATCCTCAAGAGACCCCAGATTACACTTAGAGAACCATTGGTCTAGAATAACCACTACTGATGGGAATTGTTCACTACCTCTTAAGAAGGGATCTAGGTCAGTCCCAGGAAATGGTCAAATACAGGTGGTTATGACTTGGATAAGCAGGAAGAAATTCTTCCTTTATATCCTCGAGGTCACTTGTAGGATACTTTGGACAACTTAGATTATGTATTGAGGAGAGAGCAAGACAGAGGAGAGCAGAAAAGGAAACATTTATAGTCAGTATTTTACCTCTGAGTGAATGAGACCTGAAAATAAAGAGGTAATGAATATATGCTCATTTTGACATTTTATTCGATATTTTCTTATGCTAGAAGTTAGGCATGCATATTATGGAGATATACACACTTCCAAAAAAATGAATTCTTTTTTTTTCTAGCTCCTTCTTGAATATATTCTCTTAAAATTGTAGAGCTGGTCATCCTGAGGCTGGAGGAGTCATTTTATGTTAGAGAAAATAAAGATTATACTTTATTAAATGTATTTATTTATTAAATAGAAGTAAAAATGTAGATTAAAATCTAGAAGTACGAAGCACAGTCATCAGATGAAAAAAAAGTATATGGAGGAAAGTATTTTTATTTTCTCAATAGACAAATGATATTAATAAGTCATTCATGTACAAAGCTGTGTCTCTGTGTTTGCATCTAGATGCAAGTTATTTTTGACATTGCAAACTATGCCTTCTCTGACTGGGAGGTGTGGTCTTGTAGATGTTGTCCATTTACTTCGGCGTTATGACACTCAGTCTCCCACTTGTAATGGGGATTCCAAAGTGGAAGACAAAGATGAAAACATTGCATTGTCCATTTTTAGTGATGTGCTTATTCTTTATTATTTATCTGAAGTGAGTGCTCTGTCCCCTATGATGCTCATATTTGTCAGTTCCAAGGATTTATAATAATCTTTCTAAAAACATTAAGACTTCAGTTATATCTTTTACTAAGGAAATTTGACAATATTAAAAAGTAAAATGTGTACTCTTCCTTATGTTAAGGGTTTGATTTTATAGGCCTCCAGTGATCTGTATTATTCAGTGTGTTTATTTCAGGGAGACTAGGCTCGTTGTAGAGTCCCTATATTAAATGTGGTCCTATATAATTGCCTAAAAAGTAAACATGTAAATCTTTCAGTAGTTATACAGTGAATGGGGAAGAAAAAGAGAAAGGATTGTCTGATCTACTTCCTTTCCCTATCTCCAACCTTATCCTGGTTCCAACTTCACTTGTTTAGGGAAATCCTCACAACCACCAACAAAAGTTAAATCTTATGGTACCTTATATTTCTTATTAGTAGCCCACATCAAAATTGTAAGCATTTGTTTAATATTTGTCTTCCCCACCAGACAATAGATTTCGTAAGTATAGGGACGTTATTTGTCTTGCTCTCTACATTTTTTTTTAACTGTGTATATTTAAGGTGTTCAACATGATGCTGTAATATACATATATGAGAGACCTTCAAAAAGTTCATGGAAAGATTTGTATTATCTTTTAATTCTATTTTACACGATCCTTTTGAAGTACACTTGTATGCGATGAAACGATTACAGTAGTCAAGCAAATTAGTATATCCATCTCCTCATATAGTTACCTTTTTGTTGTGTGTGATAAGAGCACCTGGAATCTACTGTCTTAGCTAATGTCCAGTGCAGTGCAGTATGATTAAGTGTACTCCCCATGCTATGCATTAGAGCTCTGGACTTACTAATCTTATGTAACTGCAAGTTTGCATAGTGTTTTAACACTGTGCTATACTTAATACATAATTGTAGAGCAACTCTTCCCCTCTTGAGACTGTAATTTTGTATTTTATAAACATTTCTTTTTTCTGCAGTTAGAGGATCCTGCTATTAGATGGCAAATGGCTCTTTACAAAGATTTACCAAATAGGACCGAAGATACCTCGGATCCAGAGAAGACAGTAGAAAGAGTTTTGGATATAGCAAATGTGCTTTTTCATCTTGAACAGGTCAGACTTTGTGTTGATTCAATCATATTTGCCTTAACCACATAAAAATATTTTTAAAAGAGGATGTGTGTTAATGTATTAACTGCGACTGAAAGAACATGTGAATATATGTCAGGAGCAATTAATATCTAATAAACACAGTTTCCAAGTTTATAATTTGTGTAGCAATATGTAAATAATGTATTTTTGGAGGGAGATAAAGGCATTTGTTTTACTGTCTTTTTCAAAATATTTCTAAAATCATACAGACAATTAGGATTGCATACTTAACTCTAAATTATCTTAACAAAAATGTAGGAGTTACACCTGATTTCAAATATTTTATACTCACATCATTTTTTATTACTGCTTATAACAATGTGTTTGAGATATTGTATTATACTGGTTTAATATTTGAAGTGGTTTTTTGTGTGTGTGAATTGCTTAGCCTTTTCTTATATTAGAGATCTTTTTGAGCCAATTTTCTCCAAGATCAGGAACAAATTACATTTAGAGAAGAGTAATGCAGTGATATTAAAACCATGTGAGAAAAGTGTTTTTACATAATTTTTCAATTGTATCCTGTTTCATACTACTAAGCTCACTGTGTTTGATTTGCTTATTCATTACCTTTTCTCAAGAATTTCCCAAACAGTAATACTTGAAATATCAGCAGTCAGAGGGTTACATTTTAGTTAAAGGGATCTTTTGACTCAAGCAAAATCTTTGCAATACAGAAACATATTCTCTATTTCTCATGAAGTCCATTCAGCAAAATAACACCGGACTGAGGGAGTTCAGTGTGAACCTAAGGGGGTGATTGTCATTGGACTTTTATACACCTGACAGGTTATTTCATACTGAATGTAAAGTTATAATTTGCCCTATGTGACCTTTGCTACCTAAATGTTTTGAAGATTTTTTTTTAACTTTGTGCCTCATCTAGCCATATTTGAACATATTAACATAGTAATAATAAACATTTGCTTTGATTCCTATTTTGTATTATCTGTACTTCCACCCCTACCCTGGCCAGGTAAATAGCATAAGGATATTATTTAAAGCAATATCCTTTTAATTTCCTTCTTGCTTACTCAAATGCCCTCCAAATGCTAATAAATTCTCCATTGCCAGGCAATTTATTACTAAACTTGATGAGATTAAAGGAACTAGGATGCTCTTAGACCATATGGCTATTAACATGTGTTTACATTATCTAACACCTTGGACCTTAATATCTTGCCCTGAATACTAGCATAATATTTTCATGAGATATTAAATAAATGTAAATCATCATTAATCAGAAGATTACAAGACTTGAGGCAATGAAATTTTAAGTGATTTATATAAAGTCATAGAGTTCCATTTCCTTAATTATATATGTAATTAAGAAGATTATTAAATATTAATTAAATGGCTACTGGAAGACCATTTCTGGTAGCATTACTCTGTTATAAGTTTTTAATTCTTCCTGGTTTTCATACACATGGATTTGCTTGAATGAATTTTAAGTGCATTAAATGAAGCTTATTGAAATCTGATTATGTCTTATTATATTCATATATCATATATTCGATCGTAATGAATGATGACATTTCTAAAATGAGATTCATTTCACTAAGCATCCAGTTATGCCTTGGCCATTCAGTGAGTGCACTGCCATATGGCAGCATCACACTCAACGGGTACTGGTGAATGACAACTGTCCCTGGGCACAAGGGGCCCATGCTGTAGTAGAGAATAAACACATAAACAGGTAAATATGTAATGATACAGATGTGCTAGGATATAAAATGCACTGCAGGGTATGAAAGGAGTCCACACTTAATCTAGTTATAAAGCACAGGCACATGATCCCTGTGTAAATCTTAACGGAGAAGTAGGAATTATCTAGAAAGAGGTAAGGGGATCAGATTTTAGTTAAGAACAAGTATTCTTAAAAGTGTTAAGGATATGGCAGGGTTGTTTTATCATGACAGGAGGATTTCAGAGTAAAAAGAAATGAACAATTATCAAAGAATAGAAATCAGTGTGTAGAATTCAGGCCTTTAATACCGCATTCTAATGTTAATTTTACTGAGTCACAGAGTAGTTTGCAAAGGATATTTTAACTCATTAAAGTCATTGCAAAAACAGTAGGTGTACAGGAAGTACTTGTTGATTTAATTTATCTCAGGTATCAGCAACGTTTTAGATGTATATTCTGTATTGTACATCTGGCCATTTTTCTCATGAGAGTAGGGTCTCTCCTTTGAATTTCCTAATTCTCAAACTCTAGCCAAGCTAACACATCAGCACATCAAGACATCCAGAGTTACAGGTATGTCTTGGTGTTCACCTTTGGATCACAGATCTTACAGATAACTATTGACTTGACTTATGGGAAAGCCTATCATTCCAGGGTTTTCCTTGTGTAATGAAATGCTCTACCAAGGTAAACTTCATGATGGCAGGAATCTCTTCTGTCACGTTCACTACTGTATCTTCAATACCTAGGTATTTAATATATGTTTGTCGACTGTCAGCCATGATGAGCAGAATGCTGTGTTGCCATAAAAAGCTACCATTTGCAGTCTTGGATATCAAAACATAACTTTAAATTGAACAACACCACCCTTAATTCTGTTTTCACCTACAATGATAAGGCTCGACAATGATTCATGAGTGAACACACTCATCAAGTGGGCAGTTGTCAAAATGTTTACTGATCCCATGCAGGGAAAAATAAGTGATTTTGAATTAAACAAGTTGCTTTGTTAAAGTTTCAGGCATTGTCCCATTCATGTTTTGACCCTTTACTGAAAAGAATAATAAATTTGGTTTTACTTTTTTTAGCTAACATAACATTTTTATTTCTTCCAGAAATCTAAATGTGGGGGCCGGAGATTTTACAACCTGGGAAGTACAGTGCTCAATTGCCTAGACATTACTAATTAATTTAGAATCACATGTTGGGATTTTTTTCTTTCTAATAGTTATAATTAATCTCTTTTTCCTCTTGTAGTTCCAGACACCATTAGTTAACAAAATAGTTTGCTTGCATCATTTACCGTAACTTTTGAATTCTCATTTGTTCCTATCTAACAAAATAGATACATATTTTAACATTTTTGCAAAATTAAATTCTTTTACTCACTTCTAATACTGTGTTCACAAAGCGTTGTCATCTTCTGTTCATTCTGTTATGTTAAGGAACACTAGAATTTTCTTTAACTGTCTCTACTTTTGTTTACTGCTGTAGCTCTTATGATAAAGTTAGTTTCGATGGATACATAAATAAGAACGGGTAATTTTTTGTGTAGGCAGAAAATATGTTTAAGAACTATAAAGAACTGAAGAAAATTTTGCAAAATGACTTTATATAGAATAATTTTATATTTCTTTGATTCTAGAGAAAACATGGCTTCTGAAATACATACTATTGGGAAAATATGATATTTTTACTAAGGAAATTATGTAGCATTTGAAATTATCTCAAATTTGGCTTTGGGGAACTTTTAGACATGGACTTTCCCATAAGAATTTTAACGTACTTTTGGAATTGAAATTCCACATTTAGGTTACTTGAAAGGTACAGCTGTTTTCATACTGTATTTGCAAGGGTGGTTCGAGATGTAAATATTTATTTATTTGTGTCCTTCTACCTCAGGTGGAACATCCTCAGAGGTCTAAAAAGGCTGTTTGGCACAAACTCCTCTCTAAGCAGAGGAAGAGGGCAGTGGTCGCCTGCTTCCGGATGGCCCCCTTATATAATCTGCCAAGGTCAGAGTCTTCGTAATGTTTATAGTAGATTAAAGTGACTTTTTTCTAATAACTGATAGATGTCTAGAGTCTACCTGAACATGAGTGCAGTAGTCCAAGAGAAAGATGGAAGAGATCTATTGATTCTTCTGTGAAATACTCAACTTTGTTTTTCTTTGATATTTTTGAAGAACTGTGGTCTGCAATGTAATCTTTTTTTTTTTTTTTTTTTCCTTTTTGTCTTTTTTCATGACTGGTAACGGGATCGCAACCCTCGGTGTCGCATCCGCACCGCACTCAACCAGTGAGCGGACCGGTCTCTATATGGGATCCGAACCCTCAGTGGGAGCGCCGCCGTGCTCCCAAGCGCCTCACTCTACTGAGTGCGCCACCGGGCCGGCCCATGTAATGTAATCTTTAAATGACTTTTATATACTGAAGAATATCTGCTCATACACAAGGGTCTTCAAAAAGTTCACGGAGGGAACTTTTAATTTTATTTTTCCATGAACTTTTTGAAGTACCCTCGTATGTGAGGCAAGATAAGGTAATTAGGAATTCGTTCTCTGGAGTCCACCTGCCTTGATTTGAGTCCTGGCATCTCAGCTTTTGTGCTGTATGACGTCGGTCAAGTTACTTACATGACTTTATCACAGTTTTCTCATCTGTAGCATAATAGGACCTGCCTCATGGAGTTGTTCAGATGACTTAATGGGTTGATGTATACAGAGTGCTTAGAAGTGAGCTTGTTAAAATAAATATTAGTCATTATTGTTTTGTAATTATTAGCATTTGGGGAAAAGAACTGTCATGGTAGTGACTTATGGGAATACTGTAAATACGTTTTTACAGACCCGTCAACCTTCCGTTAGCGGCATTGCAGGCACCCTTGTTAACAGACAAGTAACCTGGTAGAGCCAAGCCTGGCTTCGTGGCCCGGGGTACCATTGCAGCCTTCTTGGGGTTCTCCTAAGAAGCTGCGCTTCTTCCCACTCTGAACTTTACACAAGTCGCATCACACTTAATTCTGGTAAACAGGACTCAGCTCAGCTACGTCTCTTTTTTGGAACATCTCTGACCAAGCCATGCCCTCTACTCCTTGCAAGTCGAATGCTTCTTCCTATTTGTTTTCAGGGCATATTTACATACGGCAGTCCCCCTTATCTGTGGAGGGCCCGTTCTGAAACCCCCCGTGGATGCCTGAAACCGCAGAAGCACCAAATTCTCTATTTACTATGTTTTTTTTTCTATATGTACATATCCATGATAAAGTTTAATTTATAAATTAGGCACAGAAAGAGATTAACAGCAATAACTAATAATAAACTAGACCAGTAATAACAGTAAGCCTGCCAGTATCACTATCATTGTGATTTGGGGCCATTATTAGGTCAAATAAGGGTTACTTGAACACAAGCACCATGACAGTCGATCTGATCACTGAGATGGCTACACCTGCTATTAATGGACAGGGAGCATAGACAGTGTGGATCCACAGAACAAAGGGGTGATTCATGCCCTGCACCGTATGGAGCAGGACGGCTTGAGATTTCTTCATGCCCTTCAGAACAGCGCGCAATGAAAAACTTATGAATTATTTCTGGAATTTTCCATTTAATATTTCGGACTGCAGTCGACCATGGGTGAATGAAACCCTGGAAAGCAACAATATGGGAAAAGGGGTACTGCTGTACCTCTAGTTGTGACACTTGTCTGCAGTATTGGGGCTCTTTGTCTCTCTGATTCAGACATTGAGATCCTTTAGAGTTTTATTCAATTTTATGTCTTCAGCACCTAGAACGGTGACTGGTATACTCAGTAAGTGTTGAATGAATGTGTAACATAAGGCAGACAAAACAAAAAACAGACAAAACGTCCCACTTTCGCCTTGTGCTGAGACAGTTGGATTCCTTGCCATCATGTTACACTCACTGAGTCTAGAATAGACGGCCACCTCTTTATGCCATGTTCCTTGCCACACGATCAAGTTGATGGCAGCAGAGTCTGAGCTAGTTTCTACAATGTCACAGAGTTTGCTGTTTCACTCTCTCTGATATGCCGTTTTTAAACCCTTATTCCAATGGTTCTCCAACCTGTACACTTAAATACATTTAAGAAATATCCAGGCCTCAACTTACTGAATTAGAGTGTCTGTGAGGGCCTGGCACGTATGCTGTCCAAAACCTATCGAGTGACCCTGGTGTACCATGTGGTTGAGCATGTTATTCGGTGTGCCTCTCTCATGGACGGGGGTTTACAGTGATTTCTAAGAAGTTCCACCTGCATTGTTAGTTCAAGGCCCTTCATAACCTATTATGTCTCATGACCCCATAACCCACTTTTACTCTCATGAAGCTCAGCTTCCCATCCTACAATGGCACCTTCTCATTCTGTCACCTCTGATACTCTCTTATGGTGTTCTTTTATTGTCATGACATTATTTGGTCCTTTCTTATATCAACATCTCATCCACATCTCTCATTAACTTCATGATGAGTTACACTGATTTTTCTAGTCTTCACTAGTCTTCTTTTATTTCATAGCTGGCTATTTATTATCAGAATTCCAGGATTTAATCTTTGGATTTGTACTTCCATAAAGTTCACTTAATATGGTTTGCTTTGGAATCCTCAGGGCTGGTTTCCAATGTTAACTTGAACACAACTAATTCTTCTATCAACACTTATTACTTTGTCTATCAAGAGCTACTTTTTGTGATATTAACTATCATTTAATCAGCATCTATCCACTGTGCTTTTACAACCTTTGTCTCGTCTTGAGTCTTACAAAACTGAAGTGTAGATAGGGTTATCCTAGTTTTATAAATGAGAAAAATGAAAGTTGGGAAGGTTGAATAACGTGACAGGGTTACAAAGCTCAAAACGGCTGAGCCAGGATGTAAATCCAAGTCAGTGTGTTATCTGAGAAACCTGATTCTGTTCACTACAAAATGTTGCCTCTCGAGAGGAGAATCAAGAATAGGAAGTTTATTTTTATTTTTATTTTTTAGTGCAGATAATCCAGTAATAAAATGTTATTGAATACCTTTTTAATTTATTTTTTAAAAATCTCTTTATTTGAAATTGTGCTTATCTTTCAGGCATCGGGCTGTCAATCTCTTTCTTCAGGGATATGAAAAATCTTGGATTGAAACAGAAGAGCATTACTTTGAAGATAAACTAATAGAAGATTTAGCAGTAGGTTTTTAATGGAGTTAAAAGATGATAGAGGGTTTGGGTGTGGTGGAACATTGTGTGAGCCGTCGTCATATGTGTATCCGTCTTAGGAAAGTTTTTAATGTCAGTCGTTATATTGCATTCAGTGTTTACAGAAAAATTCACTCTTCATATTTGCAAGAGATCAACATCAGAACTTAGGATGAGTAATACAGGTTAGTTATTAACAATCATGATTCAGTTATTCTTTTAAATTCTTCCTCAAAGCTCCTTTAAACACCTCAGAGCCAGGACAAACAGTAAAAGGCTGAACTGTAAATAAGTCAAAGGTTAACAAAAGCTGGTGGAAAGTTGCTGGTTTTTAAAAACGCATGGGGCAGAGGATGCTAGACTGGATACAAGGAGAGGAGGAAGTTGTGGTAAATACATGGATGACAAGTAGGGTTTTCTTCCAGTGGTGCTGATAGAGAGGCATGGGCTATAGAGAAGGCCGCCCATAGGGGAGCAAGCATCATAGTCTTCTGTAGGTCATGGACCTGTTGAAAAGCCTAACAAAAGTCATCTCCTCAAGAGAATTTACAAGCATATAGTTCCACAGAGTTTTGCAGACTAGTCAAAGGCTTCATCATTTCCAAGTTACAGACAGCTTGTCTGAAAGTTATTGTTTTTAGCTCACAAAGAATCAGGGAATATAATGGATAAACTAATCCAGTTCTTAAAAGCCTAACCCTGACTGCCCCATATTTTTTAAGTGAATTTGATTTGTCTTTAGAATCAAAACAACCATAGAATATTTGGGTACCTGAAGAAATTTGACTAGTACCCACATCATTAAACCTTAAATCCAGGAGAGAACATTATTCATGTAAAGAAAAAAATTAGCCCGATTGGGTAAGTCGGTGGAGGTATAAATTCATTAAATCATTCACCAAAATCAGGGTTAATTAATTCTGCAGTCAATAAAAATGCTTAATAACTTTTCTAATTGTTAAAGTTCCATCCAATAGTAAATACTTATTTTTTAAGTTTAAAAAGTAACAAAGTGAGAAATAAATGTGTAGGTGGTTCAAGCACTAACTCGTTTAGTGTTCTTTGCCTATTATTTTTGTGTAGGCAAAGAAATGTGTCATTTGGTAATCAGGTTGCATTGTTATGTGGACTAAATTTTCATTCTTGGAGTGACAGCATTTATTGCAAATCTTTATAAATCCGGTCTTCACTAAAGCTGAAATCTATGTAGCAAATACTCTTTCAGTTAGTTATGAATCTGCTTATAAGTAGGAGCAGTCAGAATTTTTAAATTATGTAAGTCATTCTTGCCCATACTGTTTTTTGGTCAAATTATTAAATATCTCTGTTTTAAGTGCATAGTTTTACATTGTTAATTATGTACCCACACACATATATATCACATTATGTTACCTATATTACATTATATATTATATATATGCACAACACATACACATGCATACATATATATACACATACACACATGCAACATGTATAATGCATGTAAAATGCACATACACAGACACACACACATCCATGCCATAGAAGGAATAGAAGGGCTTTCTTTTTATTCTCTGTTCTTATCCGTCCTGTTGCTCCTAGATTTAAGTGAACAGTTCTTTCAAAAGTGAAATTTTATAAATTTTATTTTTTTGTAGAAACCTGGGGCCAAACCTCCAGAAGAAGATGAAGGCACTAAGAGAGTGGATCCTCTGCATCAGCTGATCCTTCTCTTTAGTCGAACGGCTTTAACAGAGAAATGGTATGGTTGGGAGGGGTCCTACAAGACCTAGGAGGAACAAATAATCCCATGTCCGAGTATTCTGTGTGTCCTGTATTCATGTTTCAATTTCATCTTGCTCTTGTTAGGAGAGAGAGAGAGTTGTTTGGAGATGACCAGTCTGGCATACACCTGCAGATCAGCACTCATCCAATTTCAGGCTTTAATTCTTACCTCTGAGTTCTAGCTTTTCTTAACAAACGTTGTAATTAGCTGCTTTAGTTGATTCTGATTCTTCTTATAAAATGTTGTTTCTCTTTATCACAAATAGCTGTTATAAATAACATTTTAAAAACCCAAAGCAAATTCTAGTGCCAAAAATGTAGGGAAACCCATACTCAAGGTTTCCTGGGTTGATTGTCTCCATTGAGAAGTCTCATGAGACCTTTAGGGGCTGGAGGAGCCATCATCTTAACTTGGAAGTATCTCTGAGGTCTACTTTAAAGGTATTGCACACTTTTCTTGCCTTCTGCAGTCTTAGTCATATGAATTCACCAAAACTACAAAGGACAAACATCTATGGAGTTAAATAAAAAATGCACTCTTAGTCCTAATGATCAAAATGTGCTGAGTATCTACCCATTTCAAGGGGGCACTGCATAGATGGGCTTTGTAGATGAGGCATTGCAGAGGTTATAGAACCTTCATCTGCTTCCCTGCCATGTGAAAGAAATCCTACTTTACCCCAGGCTTCACCTGTTCTCTGCAGATCCTGGGAGATAATTTAATAATCAATCCATAGCAACATGAGTCTTCTCAGAAGTCCTAAAGAGTTCATTTGACCCCTTTGCATGCCATAATAATGTACATTTCTCCCTCTTAGCTAATGAGATCCATCCTCTCTCTATTTCTCTCTCTCTTATTATTTCCTAACTAACAACATCATCTCATCCCTAAGCATAGAACAGCTCTCTGTCTGGCATTGTCAGGTAATGAGGTATTTCTCATAAGTGAATTTTTCTCATGGTTGGATTTTAAAACCGCTAAAATAAATTTGCAAATTTTAGGGGTTTTTTTTCATAGAAACTTTTTTTTCAAGTATTAATGGTTTCCATACTTCTTTGAGAGTTAAAAATGTATTTTATCCTTTCTTAAATTTTAAGAATCATCGTTATGACCATCTCATTTTTTAACTGCAATATGGTAATTTGACAAGTCTTTCCATCCAATGTCAAATATCACTTCTGCTGTCAAAAGCCCCTACTTCATTTAAATTTGCTTGTTTCAAGTTTTGTAGTCTGAAGAAAAGTAATTACATTTGTGTGTAAATCAATATGCCATTTGTTTTGTGAGATTTGAAGGCCTCTCCTGTAAGGTAAGGTGCGAAAACTATTTAGGATGAGTTCTTTGCTTTCTGATTCTACGATATTTCTGAATGATTATTATTTCCTAAGTTTTGTGTTTTTGTAACTTTAAAAAGGCATACTTGTTAGAAAAAAACAAAGGTTATTTTACACAATGATGGTTTGTTTGCATGTGACTAGCCTTCTGCTTAAAAGTTGATGGTTTTTTTCTTGTTTTCCATAGCAAACTGGAGGAAGATTTTTTATATATGGCTTATGCAGATATTATGGCAAAGGTGAATAAATCTTTTTCCAAATTGTAATGTTTAATTTTAATAAAGGGAAAATCATTTTCATCTTATGAAGGATAAGAATCTATGTATTTCTGGATTAAAACTTTTTTAATATTGTTAATCTTAGAAATATAAGGGGCATTAATCTCAACTTTCCACTTGTTTTTGGATTTTTGGGGGGAGAGTTTGGTGGCTGGATGGTACAGGGATCCTAACTCTTGACCTTGGTGTTGTAACACCACACTCTAACCACCCAAGCTAACTGGCCAGCCCTCAACTTACCACTTGTTGCGTGAATCTCTGCTGTAGCTTCAGGTAATCATTAATTCCTGCTTTAACATTGTGTTTATGGACAGTACACTAATTTTTCAAACATTCATTCATTCAACAAATATTTGCTGGGCATCAAGGTATTGGAGATAACATGATAAGTAGGAAAGAAACATATACACCATGCCTTCTTGCTGTTTATCATCTGATGGGGAAGACAAAATTTAAACAAATGATTGTAGAAAAACTGAACTATTAGAGTATTGGGAACATGTTACATAGCCTTGTAGTGAGGGCTGCATAAGGAAGTCCTTGACTGTTCAACTCATTGTTGAACAGTGAGTTGGCCATGCAAAAACAGTAACAGCTAGCATTCACTGGGTGTTTATTTCATTTGCTCCTCTCTACAAGAGGATGAATAAGGGGATGAGTATAAATGAGGAGTCGAAGTTTCTCTGAGACTTCTGACTTGAGTACTATATACTGAGATATGAGCAGCAGAATAATTGTAGGTCCAAAGTGAGGTAGGAAGGTGACAAATTAAATCCTGGGCATGGTAAAGGTGCCCGTGAGACATCTAAGTGGAGATGTCAAACATGCGATTGGACATTCATGGCTGACATTCAGTACCTCGGGTGAGGCTTATGAGTACAGATTTGGGATTCATCAACATTAGATGGCAATTGAAGCCATAGTGGTGGGTGATCTCACCCAGGAAGAGAAGGCAGCATTAGAAGAGAAGTCCTAGGACCGAGCCCATAAGGTCACAGAAATTTAGGAGATGGTTAAAAGAAAAGGAGCCCACCCTTGCTTGATTTCTCAGAATGTCTCTCGACTATCCATCATCCCTCCTGAACTGTCTGGAGCTGCTTTCTCCTAATGGAGTGGTTTTACCTGTTTAAACAAGGTAACCATGTGGAAGTATCTAGAATGATATCATCACAAATTGAGCACTCAATAATGTTTCCACACTTTTGAGTTTCCTGCTGAGGAAACCTTTTCCTCCTCCTCTTCCTCCTTTCTTACTAACTTTTTGAAATATTTAAGATACACATTTAGTTATGCCAAGTGCTCTGTTCTTTGTCGGTTAAAATTATAAAATGCCAAGGACACTTTCCTATGAGATTTCTCTTCCTTTTATCTCACCCGTTACCTTTCTCTTAGATTTAAATCCATATTGAAAGCTTCTGTTTCTGCTTCCTTGGTCTTCTGAGGAGTTACACAATCAGAAAGGCAACTGAAGAAAGTATGAAATATTGTTCTTTTGCAGAACGAAATTTCCAGCAAATACTGGCAAAGTGAAGTGTCCTATTTACTGCTTTATGTATTCTTATTGCCGGTTTTGAGTTTTGTTTTAGATACCTGAATGGGCTGAAGTATCCTCTGTTTTCTTTTTTTCTTCTAAATTCTCTATTCCATACTTTTGCTCTTTTATGTGTGGATCTTATTTATCTTTTTCTTCCTGGCATATGGTATGGCTCTTCCTTGCCTAGTATTTAGCATTCTGATTCAGAAAGCCAAATCCTGTGTTGCAGAACTCTTTAATATAACTCCCTTATTACTTAGCATTATTAGGTATATTTTATGGATGCAATTTGCTATTGAAGAATGTATGTCTAGTGCCTGTAAATCCTTCTGTTTCAGTCCAGTACATTAAAAAGTTGCTAGAGACCTGATATAGTTTTCTTATGGTCCCAGCATACCCTCATGCCAATCAGTAGAGATTTAAAGTAGTTTATGGATTTGCTTAATTCTGTCATGTATATATATACTCCAAGTACATTTAGGCTTAATAGTTTTAAAAAGTCACAGATTTTAAACTTATTAAAAGAAAATTTCATTAAATTTTTCTAGGAGGACTAAAAAAAAACAGTTTAAAATATTTTATTTCAAAATACTTTTCCTTAAAAGATATTTCTCAGCCAGCATTCTAAATGCACCATTCCTTTGTACAAAAGCAAACATGTCATATGAATTTTATAGCTTAAAAGCATGTCATTATAATCCCAAATAACAACTTTTCTGAATGTATTCTTCATCTCAAACCTTGTTCCTCTCCTGTATTTCTGAATGTCATGAAACTTAAAGGAGACGATGATGTATTTGAGAAAACTTAAAACTTCATATCCTTTAGAGACGTTTAATATTAGTATTCTAATTTGCTTATTATCTGATAAAATCCCAATACTTTTCACTCCTACTTACTAATGCTAAATACTAATTAATTTTACATTAATTTTAATGGGAAACGTTGGAATAGGTAATCTTGAAGAACAGGAAAGCCAAAATTCCTCAGTATTTGACATTAGATGTACAGTATTTACAGAGGCTGCAGATCTGCCTTCCAGATCTGGTTTGCTGCAGTTCTCTTGTGTTCTTATTTTCAAACTTCCGGCTTAACTGAGGACACAGAACGCAGGGTAACATTGACACATAGTGGAAAATGTCCTGCTTTCTGAATGAATCATTAACGTCTTTGTTTTTATGGTGAAACGATGCTGTTTAGCACCTTGACCACATAATGAAATTGTCACAGGTCTGTGTCCCCACCTTTATTTCCTCCATGTTCACACGCCGATTATTCTAAATGGAAAGGGTGGTGCTCAGCACATATTTGTTGAATGAATGAATGTGACCAATCTTTTACAGTGTATCACTGAGTGGGCGAGAGAGTCACTCTTTGTACCCTCCACCCGGTCCCTCCTTCATCTCCATATCCAGAGCACTGTGATTCACTGAATTAACAGTTTTTGTCCAATTTGTAACATATTTCACCATTTGCCCCCATACACCTCACTGATAGACTGAGTGCCTACCAAACACGGAAACTGACTTGGAAGGGTTGGAACAATCTAACCTGGAAGAGCTGCAGGTTTCTTCCCACCACAGGTGTTTGTTAATGAACAGCTTCCTTTGGTCACCATTATATTCCTAATTCCAAACCATAGTAACAGCAGCTGAGACTTACTAAAAGCTCATTATTTTTTCAGAAACTTTTTCTAAGTGGCATATAATTTACATTTATATCAGCTCATGTGATTCAAGAACCTGGCTACTCTTTTTCTCAGTTCCTTTTTAATATAAGAAAACTGAGGCGGGCCGGCCCGGTGGCGCACTGGATAGTGCGCCGCTTGGGAAGCGCGGCGGCGCTCCCGTCCAAGGGTTCGGATCCCAGATGCAGACCGGTTCCCGCTCGCTGGCTGAGCGAGGCACGGGAGCAACACCGAGGGTTGCAATCCCGTTGCCAGTCCCCGGTCCGGTGTTGCAATCCCGTTGCCAGTCCCCGGTCCGGTGTTGCAATCCCGTTGCCAGTCCCCGGTCCGGTGTTGCAATCCCGTTGCCAGTCCCCGGTCCGGTGTTGCAATCCCGTTGCCAGTCCCCGGTCCGGTACGGGGGCAACACTGAAGGTTGCGATCCGTTGCCGGACACGGAAAAAGACAAAAGACAAAAAAAAAAAAAAAAAAAGAAAAGAAAACTGAGGCACAGAGAGAAGGAACTTGCCCAAGCCTGGACAGCTAGTAACCTTTAGAGTCAGGATTTGAACCAGGAACTCTGCCTCTGAGCCCATATTCCTATAGCCGTCATACCCCTTTGCTTCCTTAGCAAACAAAAGTTTCAGCTATGGGAATAAGATAAATATGGCATAGAGCAACTTCTTTATCATTTCTGGAAAAATAACCCCCAAATATTGGAATAGTAAGTTTTATCATTTTTATGTATAAAGAATAATATTAGTAGCAGTAAGAATTTCACTTTTATTCTTTTTGGACCAAATACAATAAAAAATGAACTTAAAAAAAAGAAGGATTACAAGATTCATTTTAATTAATGGACACTGCTTTCCATTAATATTAATTCATGGTTATTGCACGTTCCCGTATTCGTGTGTTGTAATGGCAGCATAAAGAAAGGAAACAAGAACCTTGTCTAAGGTTTGCAATTTGGTTTGAACGAGGCAAATGCACAAATAAGTAATATGTACAGTATGATATGGACCTCATAATTATCTCTATGTTATGGATAAAATAGGTAATTTAATATTTTAATTTTGTAAAAGCACAATATATATAATTTCCTTTTGGGTCATGAATTCATTGATCCTGTCATGTAAGTTTATCATATCTAATATACATTTGTAAACAATGTTGGTGATAATTTAATGCAAATGATCTGGTGTTCTGTGTTAAATCATTCTTTTGTACTTTCTGCCTCACGTATTCCTGTCCACTTTGTTTTTCACATGTATCAGAGTTGTCATGATGAGGAAGATGATGATGGTGAAGAAGAGGTGAAGAGTTTTGAAGTAAGATCAGTCTTTCTACATTGGCCTTTTTTCTAGTTTGAAGCATTGTTTCATAGCTTATAACTGACATTTATGTTTCTTGCTTCATGGCTTATTGCAGCTTATTGTGTCAAGGAACTGCATGTCAGAGCTCAATGGACAAACCTGAGTCCTAACATTTGCTGGAGTTAAGACCAAGGAACATAGACTAGTTACGTAATAACAGAAAGCCCATATGTTCGGAATGAGTGTTCCTGAGACCCTCAGAGATGAGACTCCTTCCAGTTGCTCTCATCTCAGTGACGTCGTGGTCTGGAATTTTCAACAGACACATGAGGGAAATATTTATTGAAGAGCAACATGGCATCAAGTTTTTAATTAAACCCTTGGTTTGGTATTTTTTCCTGAATTGAAGTCTTAAAGATTTGGCCTCTTTTGACTTCTGCCCAATTAGGTCACTCATTCCGTGTACATATGCAAATGGTGGCACAGGATGCAGTTTGCTTGCATGAGGTAGGAGTATATATATTCTAGGACTATGCTCGTTTTATGATTATTTTCTCAAATATTCTCAGCTTTTGAATATCCCATATAGTTTTAAATGCTGCTTAATATTAATTAGCAGGAAGGAAAGGTAATATTATTTTCCATCTTTGCTTATACTGTACTTTTCCTTTTGACAAGAAAATCTAGTTGTTGCTAACCACCACTCTTCTTATTTATGGTTTCCTTTTAAGTAATTTATTTATTTAGAATTTTCAAACAGAAATTAAGGGAAGGAAATAGAGATAAGGTTCTTTTTTTACGTACTAATTTACATGTCTGGACTTTGAGATAGAAGTCTGGAAATATATCAGTAGCCAGCAATGAGTCTTTAATTAAGGTGAACCCATGAAAACCCGTAGCCAAGTTTCGCACTTAGAGTGAGTGGTGCTCTCCTAGGGACAATTCAATAGGAGCATCTCTGCGGCACTGAAGTCAAGGTGTAGAAAATATAAAAACAGTCTAGTTCAAGAATAACCTGTGACTATTGCTGGCTGACAAAATGCCGTAGACTAATTCCATATATGACACTATAATCTTTTCTAATATATGTGTACTCTATTCTTAAGTCCATCTTTATTGATAAGAAATTTGGGTAAATTAGAATGAGCTGTGAGCAGCACATACTACTGGTTTTCTGAAGTGCACACCATTTATGGTCTGTCGGTGTCTTCAAAGCAATTGTTTATCGCTGTTTTGCTTCTTGTCCTCGCCCTTCCTTAAGGTCACAGGATCCCAACGCAGCAAGGTAAAGCTATATATATGTGTGTATTTGTCTGGGTCTGAGTTTCGGTTTCTTGTGACATTTACCTTTGTTAGACCCAACATCTTGGACTCTTTTGTAATAAGAGTTCTTGGAAAATCTTTCTGCAAGCTTATAGCTCCAAAGCAATGGGTCTCTTCAGTATCTTCTTGCAGTTTAAATGACTCACAATTTGAAAGTTTATCCTCCGTGTTAACTTTGAGCTGCATACTGTGCTGGGGTAAAGGCGTCCAGCCCTTCAGGTGATAAGCTTTTAGCTAGAGACTTATTTTCACTGCAGCGTTCTGGCTTCATCCCTCTTGATGTTTTTTTTTTTTTTTTTTTTTTTTTTTTTTTTTTTTTTTTTAAACCAGTCTCGGTACTTGAAAACAGAAATTATAAATAGTATTGCTGGTGAGATTGGAAAGAAGTCTGCTTTTCCACTGTGCCATTAGTTCAGTTAGTCACTGTAGATTATGTTCTGTGACGTCAGTGTTGATTTTGATCTTTCATTAAAGGGAGGAACTAGAGGACTATTAATATATTGAACAGCTGAATACTTGGAAAATTTGCTAGGATAAAACATTTTTAATCTAAAATTGCACAATGGCACTGCATGAAGGAATGTATTTTTTTAGCTAGACCCATAAAAAATAATAATAATAAGCTATTACAAACTTTTTACTTTGATATGGACCCTGTTAAGCTTTTATTTACATGAGGCTATTTAGTAGGAAAATCTATTATAAACATCCCTGGAAGACAATACCCATAATGACTTCAGTTAAAAAAAAAAAAGAAAACAAAACTTTTCAGTTTATAAGCATAAATTATTCTGCATTGCCTTCTGTAAAAAAAGTGAAATTTTTGCTGCTGAAATGAATTTAGAGTGTCATGAAGAAGAATCTATTTAGAAGAAATACATTGTAATATTTTAAATTCACTAGGGCCGGCCCGTGGCTCACTCGGGAGAGTGCGGTGCTGATGACACCAAGGCCCCGGGTTCGGATCCCATATAGGGATGGCCGGTTCGCTCACTGGCTGAGCGTGGTGCTGACAACACCAAGTCAAGGGTTAAGATCCCCTTACCGGTCATTTTTTAAAAAAAAAAAAAAAAAAAATTTTAAACTCACTATTAGATTTGGAGGAATTTATTGTGCTTATATCATGATCCTTGTAAATTTAAAAATTTGAGTTCATGCAGATACTACCAGATACAGCTTTGGTCTGATGGATATAATAGTTAATGGCATATAATGGACTAATAATAATATGATACGGGCTTAAATTAGATAATAATGGTACAATAATAATTTGGTTGATTTTGGTATTTTATCACTAATTATCTCAGAAAGAATACCTGTGATTTGTTAAGGAAAGAAAACAGGAAGTGACCTCCCAATGTCAACAAAAGATTTGATTTCCTAGTTAACACAACAGCTCATGCCCCCAGAGTGTATTGATAGCTGCGTGATGGGGGTAGATAAGGCAAGCCAGGGTGAGAAAGTCTTTCTGGTCAAGATAACTATTTTACTTTGAAAGAAGGGTGCAGTTTCAGGGGATCTAAAAGCAAATCCAATTTAGGAAATGGGGTAAAATTTAGTGACAATAGAAAGGCTCCTTATTCAGGAAAAAAGTCTGGGAATGGCTGGCAATGGAATCTTAGTACTTATAGTCTGGGATTTAGGCCAGGTCAAGGGCAAGAAATCAGGAGAGGTATGGAGCCTGACTGGAGAGAAGGGGTTACCTTTGGATTTAAATGGCTGGTGTATTAGCATGTTTTCTGTTGCTTATAACAGAATACCTGAAACTCGGTAATTTTTAAAGAAACAGAACTTATTTCTTACAGTTTTGGAGGCCTGGGGAGCAGGTAAGGGCCTTCTCCTTGGTGGAGATGCTGTATGGAGTCCCATGGCTACACAAGATGTCACATGGAGAGAATGGCAAGAGCATGTACACATGTTCACTTGCTCTCCTTGTAAAGCTGCCAGTCCACGCCTTTGAGAACCCATTAAACCATTAACCTATTAGTCCATGAATGGATCAATGCATTCATGACAGAATAGTCCGCACAATTCAATAACCTCTTAAAGGCTCCACCTTTCAATATTGCCACATTGGGAATCCAGTTCCCACGTGAGCTTTAGAGGGGACAAACATTCAGACCACAACAGCAGGCAAGTTCATACAATTGTGAAACGTAGCAGTTAATCCCTAAAGAGGGGATATAGACCAGCACCTATGACTGTCCCAGCAAGAGACAGGATTTTAAAGTTGCTGGTGATTACCTTATGCTCACAGGTATAACACAATAGACCAGATTTAGGGATTTTCACTTCCTAACCAGCTGTTTCACTGATCTCCATGTGATCTGGAACTACAACTTAATATATATGCCTAATTTATGTAACACCACTACTACTGTTCACAAAATATGTACTCTGTGTGTTAGAGATATGAAACCTTACGAAGTTGAAAAACAGAGATGTATGCAATCAATCGCCTGTGAAGATACTCTTCTCTGAGGCTGATTATTTGATACCAATAAAACCAATGAAAAACTTAACCAGACAATTGGATTATTACTTTATAACTTTAGCAACGTACCAGACTTTTTACATTGAGATGTCTGGTTGGTTGACATAGTTTAGATACAGTTCAACAAGTGGAATTTTTCTTGTAAATTATAATAAATCTGAAAGGTTATTTGTCAGTTTCAATACTTATAACAAATTATGTTAAGTAAGTTAGGAAATAACATAAAATATGTGGTTATCAAATTTTATCCCTATAACGGGTTGATTGTTAATATTTGCTGTAGTTTCTAAGTTAAATTCGTCATCTGTAAAGTATTCAATAAAGACATTGAGAAGAGGAAAGAAGTAGATATAAAGAAAAGTGGTATTTAAGGAAATTTTCCATGAGGAATACAATAAAGCTCAAGAAACATGGAAAATAGAGAATGGGGACTGAAAAGCCAAGTATTGGGCAGCTTTTTTCTTCCTTCATCACTTGTGTGTGTTATTCATATGACCCTGTTAAAACTTGCCTGATCTAGCTTGATGATTTAATTCCCTGTTTCATCTGTAATATATGTAAATATGCTTTTCTTACAACTACTTGTTTTAAAACTTTATTGCATATATAATTAATTATTTTTTAGATTTGGGGCTACTTCAATATTAAAAGCATAAAAAAAGAACAGTTAAAATTATAAAGAGGCCAATGTTAATTGAAAGGGAAGTTATCTGAATAGTTATTATAGTTCAGTGCTTCATTTAGCTCTTGAATTTTTCCTAAGTCAAAGCAAATAATAATAATAATAAATAATTAATAATGGTTTAAGTCAAATAACTTCATTTTCAGAGCATGCTGTGTTTTTTTCCCCCACCTAGATCAACAAAGAGCTTTGGTACCACAGTAGACCAGTTTTTAAATATATTTTCAAAATACTTGGAAACATTCCTTAGATGGTTGCTCTTTCTACTGCCCTTCTCTAAAGACATTAAATGATTATTCAGTGAAAGCATTTTTAAGGAATATTAAGGTTCTATATTATAGATGTGTTAGTTACCAAAAAAATCTAAATTAATGACAGTAGAGCTTAGGTAAGTGAGAGAATGGAGAATTAACCTGTCTCATAGGTCATCTTTCTCAAATATTAGGCAAGCTGCATTTTCCTTTGGCAAACACCCAATTTCTCATTCACAGATGGAATCTCTTATGAATCCCTGGGGTCCTATTATTTGGTACCGTTGATTAAAGAGAATTTCTTGTGCCTTCAATACTAAATATGCCCGTGACAGAGTTTACATTCTCTAATAAGTACTTAGGAGACTAGCATATTCTCACCCAGATGGGCCTCAGACATAACTGAAATGACATCGTACCTGCTAACATACTCAGACCAATACCCAGTTCAGACTCCAAAGTATGCACCATTAAGTATGGAAAAATCAATTTAGATCCAAAATGTCTAAAGGACTGATATTACATTGCTCTACCCCAATGACAAAAGATATTTTGTCTAGCCGCTCCATTTGTCTAATTTTGGATGGAATTCCATTTTGGGGTAATTCTGCAAGATTGGCTATAAGATCTGCTGCCCCCCAAGACCTACATAATTCGAATTTGAGTGGGTTTAGTTAATGCTTGTTCATAGTAATACAGCAATTTAAATTAAAAGGTCTTCCTGAATCTTAGCAAAGAGAACCCTTAAGTGCATAAAAATTAAAGACATAGATATGGATATAAAATACTTAAACAATTATTCCTTTTGTCAAGAAAATGTACAATTGCTCAGTTCCCATTGCAGAAGCTATATGGTATCCAAAATATGGGCTAAAGCGTTGAGTTGCTTGGGGTACTGTGGAATCATAGAGGGTGAAGCGGGGAGGAGTTTTGATGGCCAGTGCTCTCCAGCACTCATGGCTGTTGTGCCATCTGCCAACTGCACTTTTATGCATGAGACTGTCCATCTCAAGTAATGATCTCATGTCTTAGCCCAGGTTTCCTAGAAAACAGAGGCAAAAAGCTTATGTACTAACACTTTTTTGGGGTAGGTGTCGGTACAATCCCAGGGAAGTAAGAGTGAGGGAAAAGAGGAATGATATGGGGAAGGAGGAGGGAAAATACAAAGTAGAGCATTCTGGAGCTGACCATGGCTGTCCAACAATACAGCTGTTCTCAGTTGTGTGGGATGCTATGGAGAAAACGTATTCATCATGCAGAACGCCACCTGGGGAAGAACGGTGAGCACTTTATCTGCAGCTTCCTTCCCATTTCTTTATGCCTCCTGCTGGTAGTAACTGGCTCTGCCATGCAACCCATGGGAAGGCCAGAGCTGCTTTGGGTCCAGCCTGTTGAGTGTCCAGGGACTGTAGTCTGTCCTTATTTGTCAAGTTGGGGTCTCCTTACTGAGTGGTAGCAGCAGTAGCAGCCAGCTTTCATAACCATGCTATGGTGTCAGCTATTTCTATATTTATTGTGCATTTTCCATATGCATA